CCCCCCCGGCTGCTGCCCCTCGCCGTCACCCTCTATGTAAGGATGGGCATGGGGGATGCTCTGCGTTAGGGGCACGCGGTGGCACTGACCCCTCGCTCTGGCCCGCAGGCTCTCTGGCTCCTGTACCTGTTCGTCATCCTTGGAGTGACAGCAGAGAAGTTGTGAGTAGCCCCATAGAGGGGATGGTTCCTGGGGTGAGGGGGACCCCTGTGTCCCGCGGCTGCCCCGTCACCCTTCCCCACCTCTTCTGCCTTTCCAGCTTCTGCCCCAACTTGTCGGCCATCTCCACCAACCTGAGGCTGTCTCACAACGTGGCAGTATCCTTGGCACGCCATGGCCGGGGAGGGCGATGCTGTGATGGGGTCACTTTGTGTCCCCTCAGCACCGTGCCAGGGGAAACCCATGCAGAGCATGAGCCATGGGGTTGGGTGCTGGCTCCGGGATGGAGCCCTGTGGCGCAGAGCGGGCAGACACCCCATGTCCCCACGGGAAGGGGTCTTTTCCTTGACGTCCCTTCTCCATGGTGTCACCTTCCTGGCCTTTGGCAATGGGGCACCCGATGTCTTCAGTGCCGTGGTGGCCTTCTCCAACCCGCGGACGGCAGGGCTGGCCATTGGGGCTGTCTTTGGTAAGGAGACCCCCCCCCATAGCAGGGGGGTGGGATCGCTGTGGGGCATTGCCCCTCACAGGGAACCTATTGCTTTGGTAGGTGCTGGTGTGTTCGTGACCACGGTGGTGGCTGGTGGCATCGCCCTGGTCAAGCCCTTCACAGCCGCCTCCAGGCCCTTCCTTAGGGATGTCATCTTCTACATGCTGGCCGTCTTCCTCACCTTCCTGGTGCTCTACTTCGGCAGGATCACACTGGGAGAGGCTCTGGGTGAGTGCTGCTGGGGCTAGGGGGCAGCAGGAGCATCCTGGGGGTGCTGTAACCCCCGCGGGGTCCCCATGCAGGGTACCTGGGGCTGTACATCTTCTATGTCCTCACCGTGGTGCTGTGCACGTGGATTCACCGGTGGCAGCGGGGCGATGGGCCGGGCCCTCCCGGAGCCTGGGAGCCAGGTAAGGCTCATGCCAGCAGGACCCCTGCTGTGCTGGGGTCTCCATCCACTGCTCCCTCCTCTCCTCTCCTCTTCCCCACAGAGATGCCGACGGATGCTGAAGAGCCGGAGTCCTCGGGCACAAACAGTGGGGACTATGGTATGTGGCTCCCAATGGGCCCTGCTCTGTCCTGAGGCTGTGACTGAGCCCATGGGGCAGCTATGGCTGGGTGCAGGGGCCACGCAGGTGACCACAGCCCCATGGTATAGAGGGGTCGGGGGGCCTGGGGAGCCCCCATCCCGCTCAGCTGCCGTATCCCCTTGCAGGTGAGGAGTACCGGCCCCTGCTGCCCTCGCGGGAGCCCTCCCTGCGCATCCTCACCACTGCCCTCAGCCCCCTGGACTGCCGCAAGTGGAGGAGGAAGCCCTGGTACTGGCGGCTCTTTAAGGTCCTCAAGGTGTGTAACTGGGGACAGGAGCCAGGAGGAGCCCCTCAAAGAGGGGGCTTGTGATGGGGATGGTTGGGGATGGAAGATCTTGGGGTCCCCTGCTCACGGCTGCGCACCGTTCCCAGGTGCCAGTGGAGCTGGTGCTGCTGCTCACCGTTCCCGTTGTGGACCCTGACAAGGATGACCTGAACTGGAAGAGACCCCTCAACTGCCTGCACATCGTCACCAGCCCCCTGCTCTGCATCCTTACCCTCAAGTCGGGCACATGTAAGAGCCCTGAACAACCCCAGACACCCAAAAGAGGATAGGATGGGGCTGGGATGGCCACCAAAGCCCTAGGGACTGTAGGAGCCCTTTGGAGTCCTGGTGAGATGAGGGTGGGACAGTGCAGAGCCGAGCTGGGGGCCCTGCTTTGCAGGGGGATGGTTCTGTCCTCCCCATAGGGGTGGGGATTTGGGGCCCCCAGCATCTGGGTCCTAAGGGGACAAAGGGGAGCAGACTGAGGCACAGAGGGGAGTAGCCCCATGAGAGCTTAAGGCAGAGGTTGCTTTAAGGGGTAAGGATTTACCTTGTACCATGAGCCTGGTTGGATCCTGCCCCAGCCCATTTTGGTGCTCCTTCTTCCCTCCATGTGCAGATGGGCTGTACCAGATCCAGGGCGTCTTCCCAGTCTGGGGACTGGTCACACTGGTTGGCTCTGTCCTGGCCATCATCATCTTCATCACCACAAGCAATGAGGAGCCACCCAAGTACCACTGCGTAAGGTGTCCCTCAGCCCTGAGTGCGCACTGGGGACCAGCCAAGCCCTCCTTCCCGGTCCCCAGGAGGGACACGGCTGGTTGGAGCTGTGCAGGGTCCCAAGGGATGCACCCAGGGCCCAGCTTGCCCCTCTTCTGGGCAGGTATTTGCCTTCCTTGGGTTTCTGGCCAGCGCCATGTGGATCAACGCCGCGGCCACGGAGCTGGTGAACATCCTCCGGACCCTGGGCATCATCTTCCAGCTGAGCAACACCGTGCTGGGCCTGACACTGCTGGCCTGGGGCAACAGCATCGGGGGTGAGGGCTCTGCTGTGCCCCGGTGCCACCCCATGAGCTCGCATCCTCCTGGCAAACACCAAGGTTTCCCTTTGTCCCCCTGCAGACACGTTCTCGGACCTCACCATGGCACGGCAGGGCTACCCCCGCATGGCCTTCTCTGCCTGCTTCGGGGGCATCATCTTCAGTATCCTTTGGGTGTAGGGGGAAGGTGGTAGTGACACTTGAGGATCCTGGGAAGGAGGTGAGCAGGATCCATCCCAGGGATGCTAGCAGCCTTCCCTATGCCCTTCCCAGTGTGGTACCTTTGAACAGAGGTGCTGCAAGGTTGGAGCCAGCAGCATTCCCATTGCTGTCCCAGCACCAGTGGGGCTGGAACTGGCAGGTTTGGGATCTGCCAAAGGTCAGATCAGCAGGTGTTGGGTGGTCCCTGGACCAGGCTGAAGCGTCTCCTCCTAGAGTGCTCCAGGTTATATTTGCCTCAAACTGGCAATTCTTTGGGCTGGGCACCAGCCATGGGGTGCAGCCAGCTCCATCACTCCCGAGGTCTCCTGCTCTGCTTGTCTTCCTCCTGAACGTGCTGCAGACATCCTGGTTGGTGTGGGACTCGGGTGCCTGCTGCAGATGACCAGCAGCCAGCTGGTGGTGAAGGTAAGGCTGCAGGGACACAGCGGCATGGGTCAGGGTGGCAGCAGGATGCTGGTGTCACCCTACATCACTGCCCATCTCTCCGGCAGCTGGAGCCCGACAGCCTCCTGGTGTGGGTGCTGGCTGGGGCCCTGGGGCTGAGCTTGGTCTTCTCCTTCGTGTGGGTGCCTGCGCAGTGCTTTCAGCTGGGCAAGGCCTATGGCATCTGCCTCATCCTCTACTACCTGGCCTTCCTCTGCGTGGCCCTGCTCACCGAGTTCAGGGTGATCCGGCTCTCCGCAGCGTGAGCAGCCCCGCTGCTGGCAGGAGATGCACATCCAGCTTTGCTTCCCGGCTGGATCACTGGGAATCCTGTCCCCTCTCTCCATCCCTGCCAGGGGGACCAAGGGCACCTCAATCCCAACTGTGCCGCTGCAGGCATCGCATGCCAGCCCTTGGAAGCTGTTGGAAAGGAAGAGGAGCTGTGAAGTCATTAGCTACGTCTTCTCCCTGCTCTGTTTAAGCTTGTTTAACTCAAGGTGGCTCTGAGCAGGTTAAGACCTTGGCTTCCACTGGTCTCAGTGGCAGAGGAGAAGCCAGCTCCAGCCCATGGTCACAACAGGAGAGGTTTTACTTCTTCAGCCACTTCACTTTCCCTTCCCCATCTCCATCCTTGCTGCTCTGGGCCTGGGCAGTCCTGCTCCATGGGGTAACACTGCAGGTCTGAGAACAACTTTGTCACTGCAAAGCACATGATGTGTTTGTGCCGCAGGTTTGAAATAGCTGAGGCAGAGCGAGATGGGGTTAAGGTCAGCCGAAGCTCCAGGGCAGTGCAAGCAAAGCTGGAGCAAAACCAAACCCAAGGAGCCTGGGTTCCCCTGTCTTTTTAAGCTGTGTTTTTCAACTTGAGTTTCAGATCCTAATTCCCTCCTCCTGGGGTGAGCAGAGCTGTAGGGAGGTTTCCACACACAGTGTTGGCCTTTAAGCACCGTAAACCACACCGAACTGCAATAAAACCCCCAACCCCAGCCTCGGCTCGTGCTGTTTGTGTCGAGGGTGTTCTCTGCTGCTCAGGGGGAGCGTCACACAGCCCTTACCCTGTGGAGCTGAGCCAGCAGCAGTGGTTTCCTCTGGGTTCACGGGCAGTTGATTTCCCAACACCAGTCACATGCGCCTGACTCGGCCGTTCCCAAGCGGAGCTGCGGTGTCATGCTGCTCCTGGCACGGGTCCACATGGGACATTGCTCTGCTCCCCGGGATGGGGACAGCGCTGGGGTGGCCCCAGGACCTGGGGATGCAGGGCTGGAAAGCAAAGGGCTGTTAGAGACACAACCGCATCTATGCTCCGTGAGGGGCTGTTTGGCAAGAGGCACAACGGCCAGACCCGGTTCCTGCTCCTGGAGCCTTCCTCCTTTCCCTAACCAGACACAGGCGTTCACAAGGAGGTAACGCTCCCGGTGCCTGCAGCCACTGGCTCCGCCCTGGACCTGCTCACAAGTTACAAGCAGTTGCTGGAATTACGCAGGAGATGAGCCCCACTTCCTTACGCACGGCAGGGTTAAAGCAATCCAAACCACAGCCAACGCATGGGGCCACAGAGCGCCCTCCTCACCTTAAGCACTGCGTTGGGGTAGCTGTAAAAAGCAGGGGGTTGAAGGGATTACCTTAATATTAGGGCAGGGGGAACGCAAAAGGGAAGCTTTGCACTGTCCAGGGGCAAGAATCCAGGGCACGCATGCGGAATGTGCCCACATAAGCAGTCGCCGCCGGAGAGGGCAGACACCTCTTCAAGTGCTTCAGCTGCAGCCGAGCCCCACTTGTGGAATACCACGGGAAGGAGGAACGGAAGCCGCTGCCTTTACAAAGCCCAGGATGCTTTTTATTAGTGTGCTTGGAAAAAAAAACAAACGATCTAGAGAACATTTTACAGCTGTGTCCATAAAATCATGTGCTAAACAACCCCAGCATACAAAACCCTGCAGTGCTTCCTCCCTTGCTCCCTACAGCATGATTGTCTCTGTCGTCAGTCTGTGTGTCAGGTGGGGAGAGGAGGAGAAATAGAAGGGGATGCCCCGTACTCAAACTTTGTTTCCTTCCAAAACCATATGGAAGAAGTAAACTGTGACCCTTCTTGGTGTACAAAAATATACAGTCTGTACATGGGGGCAGCTCAACACCTCAGGAGCTGTGGAAGCAGTGCCTGAGCCCTGAACCCCATCCAAGCATTCCCACCTCCGTGACAGCCCTGGTATTGCATGGGAAGCAGGTTAGTGCCCCCTCAATAAAGCTGCAGCTTCTTTTACACCCAAACCCCATCCCTGACAGCCCTGTGAGGAGAAATAAGCTGCAGGGGAGTGCAGTGCTTAAACACAGTCACGTTTTGTTTCCCCCTCGCCTTCACAGTGCTCATCCTTTCTGCCCACAACTTAACAAACACCACCTCCTCCATCCAGCCCCAGGACTAACCTGGGTAAGGCTCCCAGGCTGTGGCTCCATGCAGAGCAACAACTGCACTGCTCATTAATTTGTGGTCGAGTTTATGGTTTGGAAAACAGCCCTTTAAGATCCTTCTCGGTTCAGCTCAGGAGCAGTTTCATACCTGCAGGACCCAGAAAGGAAACAAGAGTTGCCCGGAGGCATGCAGGGAATCTGGCAAGGGTTGAGAGCAGCCACTGCCTGGAAAGTGGCTCTTTCCATCCCAGAGCCCAGATGCTCCCCTCTGTGCTCTGTGCAAGGAGAGGGTTTCAGAAGCAGCTCTGTTCTTCCCTACTTTTGAAAGGCTCATCCACTCAGGGAATGCTCCTGAGCTGCTGGGCAGGATCAGTCGTCTCCCGCTGTCCTTGGGCCATGTTGTGAGGCTACCAAGGAAAACACAGGTACGTGGGACAAGGGGAATGGGGACACACAGATCTCCCACTGCCTGATCTGCCTGCAGGAAGGAGAAAGCCTCCCCTGCAAGCTCTACTCTTAGTTTGAGCCTGAAGAAAGATCAAACAGCAAGAGGCAAGGACAGCCTCACTTTCTGTGCTGTCAGGAAGAAGAAAATGGGACTTACAAGAGACAGGCTCTCACCACGCTGTGGGCAATGAAACACACGCAGTGATGCAACCTGCCATGATCACAGAAGAAACGTGGCAGGATGGGAAGGGATCCCTCTCCCCCTTCCTTCCCACCCCTCAGCAACGAGGTCTGGCAGCCTCCTTGCCAGCCACAGGAAAGAATCGCTGTGTCCCGTGTTCCTCCTGCATCCAGCATTCAGAGGAACAGAAAAGCTCTTCAGTGGATCCTCCTAAGTTCTGACTCAGTCAGCATCTGCCAGGCTGAGGAACATCTCTGCACAGGAGAGAGCAAGGGAGGAGCAGCACTGCTGCACTGTATGAACAAAGCAGTGACCTGGCAGCTAGCTGATGCTCATAAGCTCTCCCTAACCCAGAACCAAGCTGAAATAAGTCAGACTTGGAGGAGCAAACTCTTCCATTGCTTCCTCTGAGTCATCTATGTGAGCTAAGGACCAGCCAGAGACTTGCCACTAAGTGGCAGAGGTCAACAGCCACCATCACCCTGCAGGATCCCCCCTCTGAAGAGGGAGAAGCTCTGGGGTTTCCAGGGGTGATCCCAATCCTGGGCAGTACCTCTGAACTGACCAGCAGCAATGCAGATACCGGATAGCTGCAGTAGAGACAGACTTTGTCTCCCCAAACTCCTGTCCAACCCATGGTCATAACATAGTAAGATGCTGGCCCTCTGCCACAGAACTGCTCAGGGACAGCCAAATTCAATCATCAGAGCTGGATCTACTACAGGGGGTGCATCTAACTGTGTCAAAAAGGAGGGGGAAGGCAGACTGCTCTTCCAAAAGTGCTGAAATTTCACACAACCTCTCCTTTTTTTGCATAAGGAAAGGTGGAGAAGAAAGAAAAGCTCATTCCCTGATCTCTTATTCCTAGGTTAATGGTACCCTTTAAGCAAAAGAGCTCTCAAAAAGGGCTAAAGTTTTAATATTAAGCAGGTAGCTCTGGCGCATTTCCTGCTGTTAATGGATTACACAACCCTTTCCCCAAGGTCTGTTAGTGGTAAGACAAACAGCAGGCTGGAGCCTGGGCAGTGGCTCAGGGGGAGAAGGTCTCTGTCCTGTCCGAGCTGTTTGCTCTGTGCTGAGCATGGCCATCATGCTCAGTGTGTGTGTAGCAGCCTTACACAGAGTCCCCTGGGCCTCTGGTTTCCAGCAATTCACTGCCTAGGGGAAGAGCTTGAAACCCTAAAGCCAAACACTGAACAGATCTATATACACCATCCCGATATATACGCTGTGAAGTAATACTCTAGGTTATTGCATAGAAGGTGGCTTGCATTAGCTAGGCCTAAATGACAGTCTGGGATCGTTGTCGGAGGCTCGAGGGCTTCACAGAGCTGTTGGAAGCAGATGCAGGCTCTTGCAACGGTGTCTGAGTTTCCTCTTTTCTGGAATGCTCCTCATACCATTCCTGCAACAGGAAATCAAACACACCAAGATAAGGCTCTGCCCCACACTGGCCCTGCAGCCCCCCAAAGGACCCTGAGGGCAGGGTGCTTGGCTGCTCTGCCCTTTGAGGGCACACCGCCTCAGGCTCCAGGGGCTCATTCCACAGCCCTGGACACAGCCCAACCTCCTGGAACAACCTGGTGAACTGCAGCATGGTTGTGATGGATGCACCAAGACCTTCCCACCCACAGCCCAAGCAGGAAGCACCAGCTACAGTTGGCTGAACTGATAAAACCTGAGCAAGGAAACATGCCTCTCTCAGGATGTCTCTCCTGAACCTCTCCAGCTTTGATGTCTGTGGGATATTTGGGATTCGTGGAGTTGCTCCCAGTCCTGGGCAGTATGTTATGAATCAGAGACCAAGCTGAATGGGTGGGGAGCTTCTCTGCAGATTTCCATCCACCTCCATGGTAAATAACACGTTTAATTTTATGAGGGGTTTGAAGACTCATACCCAAGCAAGCTGCCCAGGGACAAAGGACAGGTTTAAATGGGTATGAAATTAATTCTTTCAGTACTAATCATTACATTAGCCCACGACCTTCAACCTGGAGGTGAATATCTGGAGAGGAGTACAGTGACCAAAGCCATGGCATAAAGCTCCTGACCATGAAGGGCACTAGCAAGAACCCCTCAATCTAGAGAATGACCTGATTTAAGTGTTTCCCATCTTTGTGAGCTTGCTAAAGGAAAACCAGGCAGGAGAACACTGTGTCTGTCAGCCAGACACACCCAAGCTCAAACACAACCACATTCCAGTGGCTTAACAAATCCACCTGCAGCAGCCAAGCCCCAGGAACACAGCACACGTGTACTCGTAGCCCCAGCAGACACATCCACCTCGGTGAGTCCAAGCTCAGAGCCTACACACCCTGTGAATGGATGGAGCTGGGCTGACACACACCACGCTGAGCACCTCGACACACTGAGCAGGCTCTGACATGCTCTGCGGGTTAAAGAAGCCCCTGAGCACAAGAACTGGTCTATTTGGAGCACACTTCATCTACTGGCCACCCTCCATGGCTGCCTGGGTCTTGGAGGAAGGAGGCCTCTAGTGTTTAAAAGGATGGTTTGTTCCTCTAGGTAATGTTTGCCTCACCAGAGGCTTGCTGGTGTTTCCAGCTGAGGCCCACATACCTGGATCTCCTCCTCATACATCTTCATACTCAAATCACTCTTGGTTCTTGATCTGCGTCCCAGAAACACTGTTGACATTTGCTAAAATGTTGGGGGAAGGAGGAGAAGAAAACAAAGACAAAGACATTCATTAGTCACCGAGCAGCTCACTTGGTCAGCTCCTGGAAGGGCATCCTCCATGCTGACACCCATCATCCACCGAGGAGCTCAGGCTATCCTGGGCTCCTTCTGCTGTCACGGGAAAAAGGCGTTTTAGGGGGCACCTCACCTAAACAAATGCAGGCATCTACTGCAGGCTGAGCCAAATTGCACTGAGCAGATCCCCAGAGACTGCAGAGGGAGATGGGGCTCAGACAGATGTGTCTGTCAGTGCTGCTTCATTTAGTGCCTGGAACAAGGCCTCAAGCTCAAGCTTCCAAGTAAGATCCTGCCTAAGAACAATCTCAGATCCCACTTGCCTAGACCACACTATTTACTTCATAGGCCTGGACTTCTTAAATCGTGTGCACAGAGAGCTGAAATCTGAATTACTCTCTGACTGCATAAGTTACATGCACAGGATTGAGAAGCAAAAGATGTTATCATCATTCTGTACTCCACTGCGAGGCCGAGGACAGCATCTTCCTTTGCTTTATTGTCTTGACAACTGCTTCTGAGCAGTATCAGCATGGCTATTCTGAATTTTGTCTGCATGAACAAGAGCTCAGCCTTTAACCAAGCCAACCAAAGCAAATAAAGGTCATTTAAGAGACCAAAGCACCTGCACTTTATAGTGGTGATACAAGAACATAATGGCTATTATTAAAACAACCACTTAAGCTCTTCCCAGATGCATGAGACAACAGTTCTGAGGCAAGAGGTCAGCTCATTTTTCAAACCGTCCATCCTGGTCTAAACCAGTGCCATGGTGTTTGGAATCAATACCACCATATTGCTGCATAGTGTTTTGGGACTGCCCAAGCCTATATGTAAGATGGCACAGAGAGGGCAGCAGAATTACAAGACAGTGGCTTCCTTAGGGAAAAACAAACCTACTTTTTTCCAGTCAATACTGGGCAGGACAGCTCTAAGCAAAGTCTGCAGACAACAGCAATGAGCCTTTGTCTTTGTTGAGGCTATTCAGAGCATTGGGGAAATTCAGCTGCTGCTTCCCTAGAACAGCAAAACTTTGTGCCCATGCTGCAGAGTCTCTCCAGTAGCTCAGCTCTCAACGCTACAAAGACAAGTGCAGTGTCTCTCAAGACAGCATTTGTGGCCTTGGCATGCCTCCCTCCCTTGGAGCTGAGAGCTTGCACTCAGTGTTTCCTCTTACCCCATATTTGTCCATCTGCAAAACGATCTTCTGCAGCTGAGCTGTCTCACTGGCACCTGAAATCCGCTTGTACAGCTCAATGATGCCAACCACTTCCTCCTTGAAGATCTCCTTCTCCAGCACAATGCCGTTGTCTTCTGGAGAGGCAAGAAGAAAGAGAAGTCTCCAAGATGAGCATTGCTTCATCAGCCACTATTATAACCTTGGAAGGCAAAGCTTAACAGCACACAGGACCAAGCCAGATGTCAGGCACAGCCTGTACCTGCTTCTATGACTAGAACATGTAATGTCTTTGTCGTGCAACAAGGCAGGGAAGAAGTTAACTAGCGTGTAGGGCTAGCGAGCATTGAAGCTTTAGAAAACATCATGCTCCTCAGTATCTTGTAGCTATTTGTTTGCCTGCAAATTAAGCAGCAAAGCAAATAATCACAGGGGAATTGTTGCCTTTTGACCTTCAGCTGCCTGACCCAGCTTGGGAGTTCAGTGCTAACCAATGTCTTTCACTGCACCTTTAAAACAGGGTGCAGGAGGGATCACGATGGGAAGTGTTGCTGTAACTAACAATGCCTGGTGCCTATAGGCCTGTGGCACACAGATTTGATCTTCTGGCACCTAAGGACGAGGGGCTGATCAAAGGTACTCCTGTGGCTGGGGCCTGCATCACTTTGCTGTGGTAGATTCTCAGGTACTAAATGTATGAGCACAGAATCTCCTTCCTGCAGAAAAGTGTCAAGAATTATAAGGACTAATTTGCACGGAGAATGACTAGAAAAGTCTGGGTGCAGCTCACCTAAAGGACTAGTAGGAGAAGGGCTGTAAGTGATTAATGTGTTTATGGCACCTAAATTAGCAGGTCATGGAGTTACATGCAGCTTCAGACAGCCAGCTCAGGAGACAAAGGACAGTGAGTAAAACTGATGACTCACAGGGGTGAAGGCATGCAGAGACCAGTCCCTGCCAGCTCCTAAAGGGGACATGAAGGCATGTCCAAAACCAGCACACAGTCACCAGCCTAAGTACAACTGGGACATGTGGAAAGAACAGGACAGAGAGAGTCCATTGTCCTCCATGTCAGGGCAGAGAGTGCTGGGAAACCGCTTGGATACCGCATTTTGGTACTTGAATGCCGGACAAGCCACTTGGAGACATGTTCTGGTGCCAGTGGGTGTATTAGTGAGGAAGGAAATTGGTTTAAAGAGAATAAAGAATTCCCTTCTCCTCCTATAAGGTCTCTTGTTCAGCTCTGCTACATCACTGCTCTAATGTTTCCTAGATTCCTTTCCTGAAATGTGTCAGACTTCTACCTTCAAATAATTTGCTTGAAATGGCTCAAGTATTTGATCTTTCCTGGCTAATCTTATTGTCTTTTACAGATGTAAGATGCCAGGGAGAGAAGACACAACACTGTAGGTCAACCAGTCCTGACCTTCTGAATCCTGGTTCTTCCGAGTGTAGTTCATGCGGAAGACAAAAGCATCCAGAATAAAAGCCACGATGATGGTCATCACCACCTGGGAAAAGATGAGAACAGAAGGGATCAGGAGGCTGCTGCTGCGGGGGGTTCTTCCAGTCCAATTCAACAGGAAGCTGAGCATTTGGTCTGTGCTTCAACTCTATGCTCCTCCATGGCAGAGGAGATGCACATCACACATCTACCTGTGAGTAAACTACTAACAGTCAACTACAACAGGGACATGCTGCCCTAGTCCTTACCCCAGGCCCAGATTTGTGCAGCATCAGCTTTGTCAATGCCCTTAAATTCAACTTTCTGCAAGTGATGTGGACTCACACTTGTTTCTGGAAGACGTTTAGGTAGAAGAGCAAAGCTGTCCTCATTTAGGGATGGAAGCTCCCTCTGAACACAGTAAAAGCTGTCTCCCTTCCTCATTCCCACTATTAGATGCAGGAAGCATGTCCAGAAACCTACCATGGTCACAATATAGAAGATCATGAAGTAAAGACGGCTCCAGTGAGTGGTTTGGGATGTCACCCCTTCCTAAAGAGGAGAGTGAAGAAGTCAGTAGTGTACAAAAGAAGGGAGAGTCAGCTGTTAACTGCTTGCCAACAGACATAAACCAGCATAAATACTCTCTCTCATTCATGACTCTGTAGCTAACCCTGGAACTGCCTTCGCAATGCTCAATGCCCCAACTGCTCCTTGCAGCTAATCTGCCTCTCAGGCTAGAAGGAGAGGTTCCTGTATGTGACACACAGAACATTTAAAGCTCGAGGCTGCGGGAGACGTTGCTGCTATGAGAACACATCATGGACAGCAGGGTGACAAGCTGGAATACAGAGTGACTTCATTTGTGCAGATTGTGAAAGAAACGTGGCCTGAAGGCTGCTCCAGACTCATGCCCAGCAGCATGCCAGAGCTCAAATGCCAGCCAGTGATCAGGACCAAAAGATGTTTGGCAACAAGTGACAGTGTTGGGCCTGTCTCCAGCCACCAGGGGAAGAAAGCAGTGGTGGCCTGGAAGATCTAACTCGAGTGGCTAAGAGCCTGAGCTGTCTGTACACACAAGGTTTACTTACCATGATGATGTACCAGTCATTGACGACCGTCAGCTCAAACAGCGTCACTGTATACAAGTGGGAGAAAACCACAGACAATTGCTTTATCCATCCTGACCTACTTTACAGTGATTCTTAGATAAAGTATTTGACAGGGAAGACTGAGGCAAGACACCAAAGGTTAAACACAGCCAGCAAATCCAGAGGCAGAACCCTCATCACTGCTATTACTTCAGACAAAGAGCGTTAGGTCTACAGAACCAGGAGCACGGCTTAATCTGTGTTTCTTAACAGAATCAGAAGCAGACCTGGCTCTTTCCACCAGAGAGCACAGAGACCTCTGAAATCTCCAGCAGATAACCATCTCTGCTTATACACTAAGAAAAACCATGGAGAGTAACAACACATTCAAGTTATTCTTCATCGGTGGGTTTATATAAATGCATTAGCATCACTATTGGCTCTTTAGAAGAGTAGTGACTTAAAGCCCTCCTTAAATACCTCTGGAAGTCTGGTCTGATCACCAGTCAGAACAGATCTGCTGGCTTCACGCTGGCTTTTAAGAGACCCTATGGCTTACCCTGCAAAACAGTCATGGCACAATTAGCCAGCTGGAGTTCTCCAGACAGAGAGCTGCATTAGTTGGACTCTGGGAGAGTCGCAGGCTTATATGAGCATCCCAGTCCTGCCATTCAGCTCTGCAGGAACACAGAAGCACTAAGGAATAATCTTTGCTACAGACAAAACTGCCCTTACCAAAGCTGTTCAAAATGTTGTCGAAGTTGTTGAGATAGTAATAACCTTCCTCCACAACTGTCTTGTTGCCAACTGTATGATTCACCCAGCGGTAGGCATCTGCAACTGTGCTTGTGCTGGTTGGAGAAACCAGGACAAAGAATGAGACTGGAAAGGCAAGGCAGATCTCAAGGGTTATAAATACCAGAACACTTTGAAAGTGCTGAGCAGCAGTTTCTCCTTCTTGGCCAACACTTGCCTTTTCCTCTGAAAGCAAGAGCCTCTCTCCTTCACAGTTCAGCACAAGCCCAGGGAGCACATAAGACTTTCTAATCATTCAGCAAATATTATAGTAGAGAAACTGAGTGTTTGAGTTGGACTCCTGGGCTCACACCCTTAAAGCTCGGTGTTTCCAAGTGCTCTGCCATCATTTAAGATAAAAAGGGTACAGGACAGCTCAGCTTCCAAGACCAGGTGAATTTAACTTGGTACAAAGTGAGGCCTTAACTATGTAACATGTCTGGACAAGCAACTCTGGCATCACCAAGGTAGAGCAGATGTTACTAGAGTTTCCAGTCACAGCAGCGTGAAGAAGTGCAGCTCCCTGAAGCAAGTCAGAGCTCATTAAAACCAGCCAACCTACCACAGAACTCCCTCCCTTTCCAAACCCTTTCAAAAGCCATTTCATCCAATCTTGCATACATAGAGAAGTGAAGTGGCTCCTAGATTTTCACAGCCTTAGTTGCAAAACTCCATTCAGACCCATTCTCTGGCCCCTTCTCACAGGGAGATAAAGCTGCCAAAGCTCACTGCTACTGCCTGTGCCCCAAAACCACTGCAGAGAGGGGAAAATCTGCACTACTCACTTGCAGCAGTTCGGGTAGACCACGCCTGCAAAGAACTCCATGCCAACAATGGCAAAGCAATAGTAGAAGATCAGCAGGGTTAAACCTAGGCTGGAGGCAAAAACAGAAAGCACTGTGTTACTGGAGAGTTGCTAGGGCAGGGGAACAGTCACAGGCTGGCTGCTCTCAAGGCATTTCCAAAGGATGGGAACCCCAGACCACCCTCCCTGCTGCTGTGGCTCTGCAGTTCTCTGCCTGCTCTCACTCAAGAAGCCCTAGGACAAGGAGCTTGGCACTCACTGAAAAGAGAAAGTAAAGGGCAGCCTGGATCCCCTCCCAGTCTGTCTTTTGCTGGTAAACAAAAGCCTCTCCAGTTTCTTTATTGAAGAACAACACACACTGTTTCTGCCCTCTCCATGTCCTTGGATGCAGGGACTGTGCCAAGAACAGGGTTCTCTAACTAACGCGCTCTGCTCAGACCTCCTTCAAGGGAATAAAGTCTGAGGATGCCCCACTCAAACACCAAGCTCCTTCTGCCCCACCATTTCACAGTAATGCTCTTCAGTGGTTGTACTAAACATCTGGGGCTGAGTATATTCATGTCAATGTTCCTCCCAAATGGACCTCCCTTCTCATCAAAAGCTGGGGTGGGGGAGACAAATTGAGCACTGGCTTGTAGTTATCCTCCTAACACAAAAGTAGGAGGAAGCCCAGGGTGCTGGAGCGTTGCTTATCACACGCTGCTCCAAGAAACTGGAAGATGAACACCTCACTGCAGCACACTGAAGGATCAGTAACAGCCTACTGACAGATCAGAGCAGACAGATCAAATCTTGAGCCGGTTTGACAGGTCCCTATCCTAGACCCCAACCCTAGACACTAAACCCTCACTCCCCTCTCCCCACCATCACCAAAGGAAAAGTTAGTACCTGGCCATCCGGGGGAACAGCTCAAACATAGTGTCCAGGACGTTTCTGTAGCGTTTCTTCAATTTAAATAGCCTGAAAGGAGAAGCCTTTAAAGGAGAAGCTTTAAAAGGAGGAGTTACCTACACACGGCAATGCTGCTGTGGTGGTACCACAGTTCATTCTACGTCCCAGGTCAATGAACAGCAAGGTTTCTTGATACCAAACTCACAGGATCCGCTCTTTCTGCTCACCTAACGGTGTCCCACTGTCCCACCTGAATGTTTATGGCACATTCAACCAAGTGTTCACAGGATTGAGGAACCTCAAGGAAAAGTCAAGGTCTTTTTACACAGCACGATGCAGAAATAGCAATTTAACCAACAATAAACTGCAAGAACTTAAACTAGTCCCATGCACAGGGTCAGGACTCATCACTCCTTTCTATCCTTCCCCCACAACCCAATAAAAATTGATAAAAGAAAAATACATTGAGCTAATGTAAGAGTTGGCAACCCCATCAGCCTCTAGAGAGAAACACAGCTGCCAAACACAGCCTTTGGCAGGGCAGCAACAGAGAAAACAGTATCCCCCCCCCCGAGTGTCATAAGGGGTTCTTTAAATCCTCACTGAAGAGCTAAATCACATTAGTTTGTTTTTAACAGAACAACATTTTGCCTCCAAGCCTTCCCACTGCGGCCCTCACACTGTTCTGCAGAGGTACATCCCAACAGCCTCGAAACGAGAGGGTTAATCAGACCCAAGTAACTGAGCTGCAGGGAGGTTACAGGCCACAGTCTCGCTTCGAGTGTGTGAGACGTAGGGAGAGCAGGGTTGCACTTCACCCTAGAAGGCAGCATCCTTTGAGAACTGTAATTTCTGGTAATTCAATGGAAATTATTAAAGTGGCTCAGGCTGGCTCACCCTGACACAACAGCTTTCCTCTGAACAGCCTCAGACCATTTAGAGGAGGTGTAAGAACCCCACGAAGGCAGACACAGGATAATCTGCCCCTGGTAAATCCCTTGATCTCTATTAGAGATCAGCTTAAGCTCCAAAGCACAGGGTTTCGTATGCCATCCCAAGTTTTTGTTATCATTCATTTTGATAACTCTGGCTAATCTCATTACCCCACGCAATTCCTGCTTGCCACGGTCACGTACCCACAGAGCAATCCTTGCCCTCTCCTGGTAAGGAGCTCTGTCCTCAACTGGATTGATGGAAAACAAGCCTGGCTGTTTTCTCCCCTCTGTATCCCCCTCCAGCCTTCCCATCTCACCTCAGCAGCTGAAGGGGTCGCAAGACCACAATGAAGTAGAAGGGTTCCATGTTAAACGCCAGTGCCATGAGCCCCAAAAACGCAAACAGGGTGACTGAGAAGTCAAAGCTGGAGAGAAAACGGAACAAACACCACAATAAAATAAGAGCAATGATTTAGCACTAGTGTTTCAGCAGAGAAGAGGTACTTGGTGCTGCTCCAGCCTAGCAAGATACACAAGGCCTGCTGATGGCCTCGTCTACAGGCCTGAAAACTCATCTCAGGGGTCAGTCCTTCTCACCCAAGCATTTTGACCACCTCTCTCTCAACAACATCAGTGCACACTTACAGATTCCAGCCTGAGGACAGGTACTCGACAGGCCCCAGCCCAGTGGTCTTCAGGAGCAGCTCCACGCCATAGACTGTAAGACAAGATGACAGCCATGGTCAGAAACGAGCAGCATCACAAGGAGGGCTTATGCAAAGGTTTGCCCTCAAAGATGTGTGGTGCTTTAAGCGCAGGACTTCTGAACATAGGTTTAACAGACTCCCACTCATCTTCCTTATTCTCTGTGTGATGCCAAAGAGACATTTTCCCTCCAAATCAACGCATTTCCTTGTATTCATGGTGATTTCTCTCCAGAGCAGTCTACAAGCCACTTAGTTGGCTGACATCCTATAAACATTGAGGCACAAGCTCCTGTAGGAAAGGCCAGAAAGTGGTGCAGGGAATTCAGTCCTGCCTGTTCATTTCCTTCTACCTCAGTGGAACATATTGACATCCCATAGCCTAGCCTTGACCTGCAGGGAGAGATGCTTTCAAAGAGAAGCTGTTCTACTTTCACCCTCTGTCTTGGCAGCACCCTGTGGCCCTGTATGTTAAAGAACACCATAACAACGTGATGATACCCTGTTTGTCACTCCCAAATCCTTCTTTCCAGGTTCCAAGGAGGGCGGTGGAGAGAAGTGAAGAGCTGGATGACAACATCCTTGTTAAAAGAAGCACTGCAGAGTGCCTCTGCCTTCAAACTTCCCTAACAAGTGTTTTGAAGCCTAATGGCAGGGAACTAGAGCTATTCTTTAGAGTAACCTCTCCTAGATTCTCCAAAGAACCTCCTTTTGCAGTTTTACATGCTATTTTCATTCAATGGAGCTATACTTTGCTTCTCCTCAAGCGAGAGACGCTGGCAGGAGAGGGGAAGTGAATTCACATCACTGGAGAGTTCTACAGCAGTGCACTGAGCCAGTACATGAAGATAAGCAATTGCTTGTACCATGTAAATGGCATTCAATCAGAAAACTCATCATTTAGTTCACCCAGTCCTTTCAGTGTTCTCCTCAGCCCTTTGCACTCTGCACTCCAACAGCACTGCCTTGCTTTGTGTGGCAGATCTCCAGCAGACCAGAGCTGGTAATGCCTCCTGGAACAGCCAGTGTAGCACAGAGCAATGTGAGCAACTCCACACAGCTCCAGCTCTGGAGGAGCTCATCACTCTGCACACTGTGCCTAACAAATGGGGCTGCTCTGTTCCCAGGGCTGAAGCCAGAAGAGTAAGAAAGCAGCTTTTGCAGAGCTGCAGCAAAGTTCACATGGGCATGTGTGGATGCTGACAATCCCTGCTGGGCACAGCACCACTCTAGATGGAATCTGTACACCTGTGGTTAAGTTTTAACTTCAAGCTGAACATAGGAACAGAGCTGTCTGTTCTCTTTCCAACTCCTTATGAAATGGCATCCCTCTGTTGGAACCATCAACTTACTTGTGAGGAAGACTATGTAGCTCCATGGGACGTTTCTGGAGAAGAAATTCCCTCCTGCAAGACACAAGAAGAGCTTTGTCTGGCCTTCCCTGGTTTTTAAACCCCAGCATCACAGTCAAGAAACAAGCTGTGAGGTTGCCTACCTTGCAGCATGAAGGTTTCAACAAGAATCCAAATTCCATTCACAGCCACCACAGTATCTGGAAAACAAAGTAAAAACTTACAGCAAAACCACTGCTGGAGCAGAGGTCATACATTTCCTAGGCTAATAAAAAGAGCACAATAGAGGACAAGTGGCAGGGTCATTGTTTGCAACCAACACACTTATAGACTCTTCCATCCCGAGTGTTCCCAGGCCTTTAACAGATGTGGTACCTTTATCTTCAGAAGGAAACAAAACCAGTGGTCTGAATCAGCTCAAATAATCATCTTACATTCTGCCATGTTATTACCTGTGTATTTCAGCTTCCTCCTGGTTCTGGAAGAAGATCTCAAGGACCTTTGAGTTCCCAGCAGTGCAGGAAAAAGCCTTGTTGGATCTATCGCTGCTCTCCAACATTCAGCTCCTGAGAACTGGAGGTGCAGGACCTCTCCTTTTCACTCAGATCTCCTCACTTCACTCAACCTCCTCAGTTTAGTATCCCAATTTACAAAAAACCTTTTCCTCCAACATTCAAAACCTCCAAATGACTGAGCAGGAACAGATCTTTCAGAACACAGCTGTGTTCTTCTAGAGAAGAGGAGCACAGAATCATTCCTGCAGTTGCCAAGGGATCCCTTCAGCAATAAGGATGCTTGCACCTTCTTAAGTACAAACAGAAGAAGGTGTTTGACTGACAAGGCAGTTCCTTACCCAGCAAGATAAAACCCTCAAGGCTTGTGAAAGATCCCACCAACCTACCTGAGCACAAGCAGCTGACTCCTGCAGACTCAGACCCACAAGTGCGTTACGAAGCAGTGAACCAATGAGCCTCCCTAGAAGACTCAACACAGTGAGAGCTGAGTCCAGGCTGCTGTAGTGCTTGGTACAAGCATGAGGGTCCCTCCCTCTCTACCAAAAGTGTACCTGGGCAATGGCTCAGAGCAAAAACCAGGCCTCACCACACTGAAGACCTTGCAGTAGCTGGCAGAAGCAGCATACCAGCCCCAAGGGAGCCAAGCAGAGACTGTTTGTTACTTCTACTTACACATAGTGTATTGGAACACGCGGGACTTCACAAGGATGTTGATGCCTGCATGAAGGAAAGTATGACAAAACACATGTTTATGTGATCCTCCAGACCTCACACAGATTCCTCTATCATCTTCTTAGAGACATTTCTCATACCAATGCTCAGCACTGAAGCTATACAGATTAGCAGATTATTAACTTGCACCTCTTGGGACCAAGTTCCAATTTCCTCTAGGATTTTAGCAGCAATGAACTCGCTATCCTTAATCCCCAAGATGCCTTTTTTTACCCCCTCTGTATCCTAGTTCTGTGGTGTGGACAGAGGTAAATGCAGCTGCTGAAGCTCTGTCTGTGTTTGGAACAACACACATGCTGTCACGCAGGGTTGAGTGCATCATATGTAGGACCCCCAGGGCAGCTGTGTCTTGGGATCATGATGGTGTTAACTGTCTCCCACTAGTATGCAAGGCTGAGAAAGAACTGCAGATAAGTTCTTATTTGTGAATGGCTACATTCAATCAGCAAACCTGGCACCTGAGAGATAAATCACATTATCAAGACAGATCACGCTGATCTGTCACACCTCTTTCCCCTTCCTGAGCAGCTGCACTTAGAGAATCATAGAGTGGTTTGGGTTGGAAGGCACCTTAAAGCTCATCTAGTTCCAACCCCAACTTGACTTGTATGAGCGCTGCAACCACATCTTGGAAGTAGGAAGCCCAAGTTTTGTGAACACACTCCACAGTCACTGCAGTGAGTTGCTGTCTGGGGTATGGAGCAGCTCTATGAAGTACTGGATTTGGGACTCATAAATCCCCACCTAACTTCTGTGCTCAAAAAGGAACACAGGCCTCCATGACCTCAGGGATTGCTTCTGTGAAGAAGTCTTGTTTTAAGGAAGCCAGGGTCAGAGCACAGGGAATATTTACATTCCCTGGAGACTCAACACACAGAGAGTAGGTTAGCAGGCCTTCATTCAGTGGTTTACCAGGGACATAAGAGAAGACCCCTTCAGAGGGCTTTGTCATTGTGCAGAAATGCCCTTCCTGTTAGCTGAACATATGCTGTCGTGAAAGCACAGCCTGTTACCTTTAAAAATCAGGAATGCTGTCCTTGGAAGGTCATCAAACCAGTGCTCCCGATTTCGTTTTGCCTGCAAGCAGAACAGCCACAGTCAGAAGCAGTCGATGCTACACCCATACAGAAACATGCAGTGATGGACACCCACCTTATCCCCATCATCTGCTGCTTTTAGATTGCCTTGCTTTCCTACCCACCTTCTTTTTACTCACCGGCCTCCCCCACACACTTCCCTTCTTTTCCACCCAGTAAATACTCACCTTCCATTTTAAGCCAACAACTTCATAGAAATTGTAAAAATCCTTCAGACTGCAAAACAGAAAGAAGCATCTGATCAGAGCCTTGGAGCTGGTTACATCCTTAACTCTCCTTGGCAGGCAGCAGCAGCACAGAGTCCCTGGAAGTTATTAACTCCTTATTAGAGCTGAACCACAGCTGACAGAACTCAACACTGAGCTCTTCCCAGCCTGGCCAAGGGTTACTGACTGACAACATGCACAAGAGGGGGCAAAGCCAACTTTCTTCTGCTACAGTTCTTAGAGGAAACTCTGACCCTGCTCATCTCCAGAGCTCTACCACTGAGAGGGAAGTCCTGAGGCTTAGATAGCAAACTGAGATAGAGTTTGTACTACTCTTCATGAAGAAGCCTTGGACTGTCTTAATGCCTTGTACAGTCCCTTTGTATCATCTTTGCACATTTTCTTTGCAAGGTAACAGTGGAATTTGAACAAGGCCATGAAGGCAAAGAAACTCATAAACCATGAATGCCTGTCTAGGTGCTCAGGGTCAGGCCTCTAACAGCTTTTAGCTGTCTGGAAGAGAGGATTCCGAACTTCTCAGACTTGTACTGGTGTCCTTAGGTGCCTGCATTTAAAACCTCAGTTTTTCTCCCTATGCCCTTTTCAATACTTCTCTGTGGCACTTGATTATCAGGAGAAGCATCAGCACCACTTTCACGGGAGACTCACTTGAAGCCTATCTGTGGCCAGAACAAAGGAAAAGGACGAGAAGTTCTCCTGCTCTATTTCCCTCTACTTCCACGCTGGCTGGAGTTGGTTGCCCCCATCCACCCACCAGGATGGTAATTCTCTGCTTCATAACACAGAGGAGAACAGTCCTGAAAGCACCACCAGAACCAGAGCTTAATTAACAAAGCCCTGAGGGACGCAGCCAGCTGCTGGTAAAGCACAGAAACTTGTTATGCTGTGAGGCTGCACTGTGTGCAGAAATGCTCTTTGCAGGCTCTGATGCTGTTCCTTGCTCTGCTCTGGCAGGGGAGGTGGGGAACAGGCTGCCAGCAGAGCGCTGTATCCACAAGAGGGCACGCAGGAACTCCACCGCCTCCGAAGGAAAACCTCAGCTCTCAGGGTACCCACCCCTCCAAGCTGCTTTCCAGGCAAAGCCTTTCAATCGCTTAACTCTATCCCCACATCTCAATGTTCGCTCCCTAAACCCAGCCATCCTTTCCAAAATACAGCCTATAGCTTCAGAGAGTAAAGCAACCTCCCTGCTCTGGGTGCAGCGCTAAGACCCCATCCTACCTGACTAAAGGAGTATTGCTTTGATTCAGTGCTTTGAAAGTGAGATAGCGCTCTCTGGCACACATCCGAGGCTTGTAAAACCGCAACAGCCCTTCGAAGTGCTTGAAGGAAATTCCAGACGGCCTCTGGAAACAAAGGAATGCTGTCAGAAGCAGCGACATCGGGCAGAAGCACACAGAGGCTAACAGATTGAATTCTCACTCTGGATTCGGTTTAGGCAGGATTTCTCCATCACTGTAAGATGCCATTAGAACTAAGCCCCAGAAGTACCCTAAGCTATTAGTTCAACGTGCTGAGTTAATCCCAGAGCACAGAGATCAGGAATTCTCCTGGCAATCAGCTCCCCCCCAGCAAATGCAGAACTCTTCCCTATTGCCCTATCATGGGAAAATTGTCCAACCAGACACCTCAAGCAACCGAGTTCAATCCCTCTTCGTGGGAAATTAGTAGGCAGCCTAACAGATCCCATTACTGGCACTACTTTAAGACTATCAGCTATGTGCCCTAAACATGAACTAATCTACTAGAAGTGGGTTAGTTATTTTTGGGTCTTATTTCTTTTGCTGCTCCGTGGTTAAGCAAGAAATCAGCCCTCTCCCCAAGTGCTCTGTCCTCGTAAAGAGCTGTTTGTATGTGTGTTAGCTCTGTTTCTGAATCATTTACTCATGCAGTACTCAGCAACTGTACCAGTTCTTCACCTGTATGACCCGCCCCTCCTCTCAGTACTGGTGCTTGAGAGGCAAGTCAAGTGACCCACACTGAATCAGAGAGAAATCAATGCCTGCGTGCACTCCAGAACAGATTTCACTCATTTTATCAAGTCACTTCCATGATCTCACACTGAATTTCAGACTGCTTTGGTTTTCTTCCAGAAACAGATACACACAAGTCACATGAATGAAAAACCCCAGTAGCCTTTGGTGTGATTACAGGCGACAAACCCCAAGCATCTCTTTTGGAACATGCTTTTTAAACTCTCTGGAGCGCTGGTGGTGTTAGAACGCTGCTGACCTCCCTCCTGCTGCACCCCAGTGCCTGCAGAGCCCTGTACCTGCTTGGTGATCAGCAAGCGGTACGCGTGCTGGATGGCCGTGCGCTTGTGCAGCAGCAAGGACTTGAACTTCCTCTTCTCGATGTCATTGAAGGTGTCAAACACAACAGCCAGAAGCTGCAGAGAGAAGACAAGAGAGAAAGTCATGTTTTGATCTTTATATTCTGCAGCTACCCGAGGTACTGCTTCTTCAAAGAGGCAGCATCCAGCCTAGAGAGGCAATGAGAGGCACTGCCTGCAGGAGGCATTTATGACACTGACTGAGGCAAGCGCAGTCAGTGAGGGCCTGTTGGCCATAAGGGATCCCACAAAGGGATCATCACCAAGCACGCTGCACACACACTGATCCGCTTTCTGGAAAAGATCCAGATGCTTCAGGCTTCCCATACACTTGCCAGTGGCTCTAGGAGCTAAGGCTAAACCTCACACATGCCAACAGAACAGTATTAAAAGGTCTGGTAAAATGCCGTGATTTCTTCCTGGAAAGCAGGTTTTGAGGGTTCTCTTTGGATTCACCCTTCTTTGGCAAACCCATGTCAAAACTAACCCTCCATCTAGGACAGCAGCGGTGAAAACCAAGCATCAAATAACTCACCTTGGATTGCAGAATTCCTCAACTCCTTTGGCAAGCCCTTTTCCACCACTCACATCCTGCCCTGAGCTGGTCCTGGCCCTGCCCTAGATGCTGCAAGCAGAGCCAGCACGGCAGCCATGCTCTCACACTGCAGTTGTCAGCACTCAAGTCCTGCCACCCTTAGTAATTCCATCTCCTTCAAACTGATTTAGACAGTATTTTAGGCAAGGCCAGATCATAAAATGCCATTTTATGATAAATAATTAAGCCAGAAAAGGACAATAAATTTCATGCAACCGAGTATGTCACTCCAAGCATGATATTAATGTGAGAGAAGCTGAAAGATATCATTTTGATTTTGTGTGATTTAGTTCAATTCCTTGTGGTTAAACATTAAGAGAGTCCTGTCTGTAGCAAAGCTGCCATTTCTAGGAGTATTCTGCCAAAGGGGCTCAGGTTATGACAGAGGACTTTTGGGAATGGGGAAGCCTCTGCTGGGTAATGAGCTCTGAAGTCAGGCAGAGAGAATGCAAGTGCTTCAACAGGGGACTCACCAAGTTCATGATGAAGTAGAGCTCAATGGAGAGATACACTATGAAGAAGACACAGGACCAGGGGTTCCGGGCGTAAGATGGCATCATCACATCAGGGAAACTGCATCCAAAAAAGACACAGATCTAAGCACCAAACAGTTCATGCTACACATCCCACTACAAAGGCAAGAGGCACAGGGGTGTGTGTAATCTCACAGCTGAAGAGCTGCACATTTCTGCCTAACAGGGCTGCTCGTGGCACAGGTTTGTGCCTAGCAACGAGCAGCAGGAACGTGGAAGCACGCTGAAAAACATCAATACAAAAAGCACATTCCTTGCACATCCCCAAAATCAAATGGGCAAAAGGGGGTTGGAACAGGGCTAAGGGCTGTGCTTTGACATGTAGCAACAACAGCACCACACCCTCAGTGTGAGGGGGTTACAACCTGAGATTTATTCCATCCTTTGCTAAATTCCTAACCCTCAGAGCTCTCCTTCACAGTGGATCAACGTTGACCCGCTGCTCTTATCCCCCTTTCCTAGTAGATAGGTGAACTGAAGTGGAGGAATAGGAGGTTACTTCCCAACAGCAAACTGTTGGCTGGCAAAGGAGCACAAAGGGAAACTTTCCCTTCCTGGTGCAAGGCCTAGTAAAGGCGTTTCCCCCCCTATTGCCCTCACAGCGATGAAGTGGGGAGCTGCTCAGAGATAACTCTGCATCTGAGGTCACAGTGTCCTAAGCCAAAATGAAATACCAGCTCTTCCCATGAGGCTGACCCAGGGAATCTCCCTCTCATGCAGAGGAAAAGAGATGGAGCATTTCTGCAAACAACCTCATGGCTCTGCCAGGTTTCCTTAAGGACAAAGTGAAACCCTGAGCTAGGAAAGCATGAACTTACTTCGAAGTGGTCAAAAGCACGAAGAGATTCACGAGGCTGTTCTCTAAGGTATTGAAGTACTGAAAGAAAACACTCCCATGACAAAACGCAAGCAGAATTTCACAGTGACATTTCATTCACAAAACAAACAACCCGCTCCCTCCTCCCTTCAATACGGGCAGCTCTGCAAGTCCCTGCTGCCTCCCCTAGGGAAAGGGTACTTCAGCACTGATCTGGTTTAAAGGTCTCTAACAGATGGCATGTGAAGTGTTAAACCAATTAAAAGCTCATCCATTTGGAGTAGTCACTCCCAACAAGTTACAGACTCACAGCAGCAGGAAGTAGGGGCTGTTAAGACGCTGACAGCCACAGGCTGTCACCCAGACACCTTCCTCCCCTGGGGACAGTGGCAGGCAGCTCATCTGACTGAATTAAGGCACCAAGAACAAGGAACAACTCTATGAATGTTCCCTTTGGGACATCCTGTCTTTAAGGAAGTTCTCTGCACTGTCTTCCTTCCGAGCAGAGGGCAAACCAGGGTAACACTGCCAAGCAGCCTCTGACCAGCTTGTACGTGGCCTGCCAGGAACAGGCTATGTCTACACAACAGTTTGATTCTTCAGCCTGTTAAAATGGGACTGAGGTTTCAGCTGCAAGAATCAGGGATACTCACCGGATCCGAGTGGTTAGGGGAAAACAAGTAAAAACCTGGAGAAGCAGCAGGGAAGGGAGAGAAGAGAAGAAAGGGGGAAAGAACAAACAAAACCAGTCTGTTTAATGTCACACATTAGTGAGTCTCTGTTCCCAAAAAGAAGGTCATACAAAGAGTAAGCCCTCTTTGAAACCATGAAGAGAAGAGTATCTGGAAGGCCTCCTCCATACAGATTTGTCAATACATGACATTGGCATTGCACCAACCCGTTTGGAAAGCAAACTTTCTGGGGATGGTTTGAGTATAGGACTTGTAACAGGTACACTAGATATATGTATTTGTGGGAATGTAGACTAATGTTACAAGGATTGAGGAATAGTTGATGGAACCACAAACAAACAGAGCACAGGCTATCCTTTAGCAGAGATCAAAAGGACCTTTGTCTCAAAATCAAATACTCAGCTTCTAGATCGTTTGGATCTTTAATTCTGCCTTCCAGATGACTGCAAATGAAATGGGATAAATGGAAGAACTTGGCAGGACTTTGAGTCTGATCAGCTATATATTCATCCAGGCTGTGTGTCTGGTATAAGAGCATGACTTCACATTCCATAAATACAACTCACCCAGGATGGCAAAAATCACCATGAAGAAAAGCAGGAGGAGAAGAATGTCAATAAATGGTGGGAGGGACTGGAAGATCTGTCGCAGATTTCTGCAAGATAGAACAGCAATGAAGTAAAACTTGCATGTTTTCTCTTCCAGGGTGGCAAGGAAAAAACCCCTGACACACCATATTTGAGGACTTCCTTCCCACTCCCTCCAAGGACTCGAAGTAGAAAGCTAAGATTGTTTCCAAGCTACCTATCTGTCCTTTGCAGGCAGCTCTCAGGTACTGCAAACAATACCCATGTCACCCTGTCAACTTTCCTGCTCCAGACTAAAGACAAGCTCTGTGAGTCATTGTGCAGTTTACAGACAAACCTGGGAGCCAGAAACAATACAGCCATGTGTGCTCTCTGAGGTGGTTTACACAGCTGAGGACAGTACACATAAACAATAGGACAAGGGGTAATGGTTTTAAACTTAAACAGGGGAAGTTCAGGATAGATATAAGGAAGAAGTTCTTTACTGTGAGGGTGGTGAGCACAGGGTGCCCAGAGAAGCTGTGGCTGCCCCATCCCTGGCAGTGTTCAAGGCCAGGTTGGACAGACCTTAGGCGACATGATCTAGTGCGAGGCGTCCCTGCCCATGGCAGGGGGCTGGAAGTGGATGATCTTTTAAGGTCCTTTTCAACCCAAACCATTCTATGATTCTATGAGCATATCCAAAGCTACTAACTATGACATTTTCCTGCATTGCCAAGACACCAGGTACACTTCAGCCACAATTACAAAAGATTGATACAAGATCCGAAATGCCCCTTAAAGACACATCCTGAGATGCCTGCAGGATCAGGGTGCTTTTCCTACCCTGTCAGTCCCAGACATGACAGCAGAAAGCCCAGGCAGCTGCCCCCTCACCTTCTGACAGCCCCACAGTAGCGGCAGTCCACCAGGAAGATGCAGCGCAGAGCTCTGGTGATGCGCACGTGCGAGGTTTGGCGCACCAGCACCACGATGGCCTCGATGAACTGTACAAAGAGCACACAAGTCTGCAAAGAAAGGGTTAATGAGAGGCACAGCTCAGTCTCCTTTTGGCAAAGGCAAAGCTCTCACTGACCACCCATTTCTTTGGACACTTGGAGCATGGGAGTTGTCCCTGAGAGCTTAAGAGACCTCACATGAATCACTTGGCAGCTGGGACACATGGCTAAGTCATCTCTGCTACAGCACAGGCCAATGTTTAACCTGGTTCTTTGGTTCCTGAAGATGCTGAAGGAGAAACACTAACATTCAAACACACAGCTTACCTTTACCATAGTCCTTTTGTGCCTGATAAAGGTTTGGAAGCCCAGCCACCTCATCTTCATGGAGAGTTCAAAGACCACCACAATTAATGCAAACAGCTCCAGGGTTGCATGGACCTGTCAGAATGCAGCAAAGCTTCTGGTTAAAAGCAGCAGCACAGCAGAGGCCAAGCTTCCGCCCTTCCTTTCTCAAGAAGCACATGGGTTTGACAATAGTCTGAGCACAGCTCTGACACAGGCCAGGAAAACCCAAGGCCACTCTCAGAGCTAACACAGCACTGATTTGCTTTGTGCTTTTACTATTGTCCTCTGATCAGTATGAGCTCAGAATTTCCTGAAATCCACATCCCTTTTGGACTTGAAGAACACATCCAAAAATGCATTGATACATTTGAAACAAAAGAGCAAGACCCCAATAACTTCAGCAGAAACACCTTCAGAAGACTGAGACTGAAGTAAGACTAGTGTAATGCAGGAAGAAGAGCTGCTGGGCAGTGAGGATTTCCATAGGGAAAGGTTTCCTCTTGATTCAGACCTTCTGGACAACCACAGACAGGGTCCTATCAAGCTCTGGAGGAGAGCACTGCTTTGGGCAGTGCTGAAGGACCCCGTCCCTGTTGTAATATGCAAAATGCAGCAGAAAGAAGACAACAGAATTTTCTTACAACTTCAGCTTTAGTCACAGCTCAAACCCCAACTGAGTTATGCAGCCATGCCTCATCTTGAGCAATTCTCTGACCCCAGGTTGTCATGGCTGTTCTACACCCCTGGCATGTCCTACAGTACCATTAACAGCCCCAAAAGCAGATGTACATTCTCCCAGCAGCAACAGCAGCTCCTAGCACTGTGCCTGACCAGTGCTACCTCATGAAGCGGTTGTGGACTGACAACAGCACGCACCACTTTGTGTGCCCCTTCTCTCAGCCTGCGTTTTGGGAATGTTAGACATAAATCACTCACATGTTAAAAACAGTGCTCACAACACTGGGAGGAGAGGCCAGGAGGAGGTTTAGCAACCTGTCCCAGGCTGAGATCTGTTTGCATTCTAGGAACCAGTGATGGTGCTGAGCTAAGGACACTAACCCTGAAAATGACTTTAACAGCACACAGATTCTTGAGTTATCACAAGGGAAAACCACACACTCCTCATCTGCACAAATGGAGAAGATGAAATAAATGATACTTTCATTGTGGTCTCTGCCCATCTGATGAAAAAAGGATGTTTTGCTGGCTGGCTTTTCTGCTTTCAACCAATTTACAGAACAAGCCAGGTGGCTTTCTTCCTGCCACTGCTCCCTTCTTCCTCTATGCTTAGCCTTCTTCTTCCCCTCACCCAGCACTGCAGAACAGGCAGACTTCTTCATTGTGCCCAAAAGTACTTACAAAGATGCCAAGACGGAGCATGGGAACAGCTGGTGCTTCGCAGAGAGACAGCAACAGGAGCAGCAGTGCAGTGCTCAGCTCCATTAGGTAGAAAAGGTGATTGTGTGCAAAGAGGTAGGCAGCAAGTGCTTTGGCGTTTTTGGGGTGAGTGAAGAACTTGTCATTATTTTCTCCTTCCTAGGGCAGCAGGAATAAAGAAGAGAGCAGCATCAGCAACTCTTGGTATTGTAACAGAGCTTTCCACATGAAGAATACAGACTTTTAGAAGGATTAGATACAATTCCCATCAGACTATCCCCATGTTACAGCCTAGCATTGATCTATTTATCGAGGAATGAGCTCTACACACACAGGACACTCCCTTCCGTTCATAAGCACGTTTCAGTAATGAAACTCCTTAACATCCACAAACTCCTGCTTCAGAAAGCCTTAAAATGAAGAGTGCTGAAAGAGTTTATAGAGGCAAGCAAAGAAACTTCGGTCAACACCCCAGCATAAACACAGCACGCACTTGCCATCACTTCCACATGTTTACACGTTGCTTTGATTAACTTCCTCAGGACAGACCAGGAAAAACACAGAGATAAGCTCCAGGGCACCTGCCTCACAGTGGCTCCTCTTTATCTTGGCCTTGTAAAATGTCTGGGAGAAAACACTGGAGCACACACAGTGTTTTCTACTTCAGGAATGTGGGAAGACAGACTCCATGTAAAATCAACAAGCCTCAATGCATATTTCTCACTCCCTCTTAACTAGAAAGCTTAATTAACAGGAAAAGGTCAGGTACTCCATCTTAGCAATCTGCCTGCGACTGATTTTTACACAGCTACACCAGTGCTATCTTTACCTCTAGGATGAAACTTTGCTTGGGGAGAATTTAGAGGGTTTTCATGCAGAAGCTCCCAACAGCTTCTCTTCTTTCTTGAGTCAGTGGTTTAAGCAAGGGAGCCTTTGTTACTCACGGGAATCTTGCAGCCAATTGGAAACCATCATAAGAGACCATTTTTGCTCCACTGGGTCACTCAGATGCACAAGAAAAAATGGTTTGTTTGTGGGTTTTTAAATTAACATCTTTCCAGGTAGGCAATTACTGTAAGGACAGCAAGCTATTGCTATCAAAGGCGAGTAACTGTGATTGCAAATGGGTAACAAGGTCAGGAAACAGGCTCTCTTCTACGAAGTGAAGCATTCTCGAGACTAATTCAGAAGAGGGTTTCAAACATTTCTCATTTACTCATCTTGCTTTCTGCTGAAGAACAAAGGAGCGCTGCCAGGTCAGGCAGCCAGCTTGTGAGCAGGACAGAACCCAGCAGCGAGCTCCATATCCCTCACTCCAAGAGAGCTGCAGCTCCCAGCAGCAGGGCATCCTCATTCACGCTTGACAAAACACACTTGCAGGATGAAAACCAGGCTCAATTCTGCCTCTCGGTAGCCAAGCAATTCAAAACATTGCTGGACAGCAGAGCGCTCTTATTCAGATAAGACACTCTTGCCTGCAGCTACTGGTTCAAATAAACAAGCTGCATGCTCTTTAAGTTCTGCCTGCTTCAGTTCAAGGGCACTGTCATTATGACCACTGGTCAAGGCAGCAGCAAGAATAATGTGCATGTGAAGGGCCAAGCCTGCTGTGTACATTACCATCAGCCACTGCAGCAACTCAATGACACTTTGCAGAGTAGCTCCAATAATCATGAGTTTAAACAAAAGCCTGGGAGGGCCTCGAGCCACCAGTGCATTGTCAGTGTTGCTCTTGTGTCTTACACGACTTCCAGGGCTTGAATGATGCTAAACAAACACCCCAGGGCCACCCATCCAACCTGCAGCCAAGGCAGGAATAGGACCTGCACTTCCAGAACAGGACCTGCACTTCCAGAACAGGAGATGTCTCCAGGAGGGCACTGACCATTCACGCTGGGATGACTGGAGAGATGACAGGACAATCTGTGACAAGTTACAGACATCTCCATGGCAAGGTGGCAGAACTGAACACACACTGAATCCCTCAACTACTACAGTCCTTGACACTAGAAGAGATGGGAGGGGATGGGTAGCTTCTTCAGTTGCTCCCAAATGACTTGCCAGAGGTCATGTGAAGGTGCTTCCAGCACTGCCCCATTCTTAGAATCATAGAACCACAGAATGGTTTGGGTTGGAAACAACCTTAAGAGCATCCAATTCCAACCCCCTGCCATGGCTAGGAGCATTTACCACTTCTTTGGGCAACCTGCCTCACCACCCTCACAGCAAAGAACTTCTTCCTTATATCTAACCTGAACTTCTCCTGTTTCAGTTTGAACCCATCACCCCCTGTCCTATCACTACAGTCCCTGATGAAGAGTCCCTCTCCAGCATCCTTGTAGCAGCTTCTCTTGTTCAAGCAGATTCCTTCACAAGGAGCTAATCCATTAACCTCAACATGGAAGCTCGATGTTTCTTCTATCAAAGCACTACCAGAGTTTGAGCAGTCCATTTTTCACACAGCACCCCAACAGCAGGGCTCACCTGGAGGTAGATTGCTGCCTCTTGGTAGTTCATTTCCCAGTTGTGTCGGGCAGAGCTTTGCTGCGCGCAGCAGTCCCCCGCAGCAGGGCTGGATGCGTCATTAATAACATCATAGCTACCTCCATCTGCAGCAGTAGAATAAGAGACACATTGATTCACAATTAAGCAAGCTGAGATTGATCAGGAGGCATGAAACAAGGCAGGCACCAGGACCAGAGACAAACATCAAGAGGTGGCAGAGTACTCAGGACACCACCAGCCTGTACATAGGCAAACTGATTCTTTGCATGTAAGAGCTTAAGGGACACACTCAAACCCTGCATTTCAGCCCAAGAATGCTCCCAGAAGATCAGCAAAAGAGACAGCATCTTCTTTAACACCAATACCCCTCTGATGGAAACAAACAGCAAGAGTTTCTCTTCATATTTCGCTTCCTATTTCTCTTCCTATCCAACAGATTGATGTTGGAACTTTCAGGTCTCATCACGAAAACCCTACCAAAACCTGCTTTACTGAACACTAGCACCAGATTTCATAACTAAAGATTTCATTAAAGGAATGAAAACACGTGAAACCCAGGCATGAAGACAATTACTGCTCAAAAAGGGAATGTCACCTGCTTGCTGCTTCTGGGATTTGGATTTGGATGTTGCACCTTTGACAAAGAATATACCTCAGTGAGACCTGCTTAGGATCAAGCATGAAGGCTGTGGTGGAGCTGCTCATGCACTCAGTGCTCCAGAGTTTCAATCACTACCCAAAGCACACAGTTCTTGCTCTCAGCAGAGACTTCCCTCCTCCAGTGCCTCATGTTCCCAAAGACAGCCCATGTAAAATGGATCTTGCCAGTGCAGGAGTGCTGATTTCCTGCTTTTCACGAGCACAGAAGCTGTGATGTGGTAGCTTGTTCTCTCTGTGCTGTGAGAAGTTACCTGAGGGTGGGAGCAAAATGACAATGAGGTTCTTTGCCTCTCTCGTGACAGCATGCTGAAGATTTGCTGCATCTCTTTGCTAGGACAAAATAATCCTGATTGAATCAGTGATTCAGTCCCTTTAGAACAGCCTCCGGAGGGGATAAAATGCCAATGCCAAAAAGATCTACCCCCACCAAGAGAAACAGCACCACTGTGCTCCTGGCACAGAGGCAGGGAGTGGGAAGCAAGCAAAACCCCTTCACCAGTGTGGAGCCCCAGCTGCCTTTTCCACCCTCAAATCAAGGGAAGAAAACATTTCTCTGGGATTTGTGAAGCCTTTCCAGATTGCATGCTCAGATTGCTGAGAATCCTGCAGCATGAAGCCTATTTCTCTTCCTCGCTTCCCCCAGAAGCTTAAAATACCACTCAAAATCTGGACAAGTGTTTGAATGAGGCTGATTCCTCGCCCACATCCCTTTCACACCTTGAATGATCACATTGCTTGAACAAAGTGAATGACGGAGCTTTTTATTTATGTCCAGGACTGGAATCTTCTGGGTTTGTTTGCTTTGTAATTCAAAGACGACAGCAACATGTATTATATTGTGAGCTCTAAAGAGTTCTGAAATATTAGTATTTATGAGGCTTTTACCACGTGTGCCTTTCAAGGAGACAGACTGCAGCCTGACAGCAAAAACCCTTCTGCATTTTCAGTGCTCCTTCTGTCATAGAATCGTAGAATACCAGACTGGTTTGGGTTGGAAGGGACCTTAAAGCTCATCCAGCTCCAACCCCTGCCACAGGCAGGGACACTTTCCACTAGAGCAGCTTGCTCCAAGCCCCTGTGTCCAACCTGGCCTTGAACACTGCCAGGGATGGGGCAGCCACAGCTTCTCTGGGCACCCTGTGCCAGCGCCTCAGCACCCTCACAGGGAAGAGCTTCTGCCTAAGAGCTCATCCCAATCTCCCCTCTGGCAGGTTAAAGCCATTCCCCTTGGCCTGTCCCTACAGGCCCTTGTCCCAAGCCCCTCTCCAGTTTCCTGCAGCCCCTTTAGGCACTGGAGCTGCTCTAAGGTCTCCCCTTCAGGAGCCTTCTCTTCTCCAGGCTGACCCAGCCCAGCTCTCTCAGCCTGGCTCCAGAGCAGAGCTGCTCCAGCCCTCGCAGCATCTCCATGACCTCCTCTGGCCTCGCTCCAACAGCTCCACGTCCCTCTTGTACTCTTGCCCCAGAGTTGGATCAGAACTGCAAGGGGGGCATTCAGGAGACACTAAAATAGCACAGAATCCACACCTTGGCTGCACCAGCAATTTTAGCGAGGAGGGACATATTAAGCAGGTCCTTACAATATTACCATGTTATTGCAGCATTACAGTAGAACACCAAAGCATGCTGTGGTCAAATCAGTGAAGGTTTGCGGCATTAAACAAATTAAGCATTAAATCAAAAGATGCCAAAACCACCTTTGCCCTTTTTCACAAAGACCAACCTCTCTTTGAAAAGGATCAACACTAGGAAAAGAGACACCCCAGCAAAACCCCAGGCCCCCTCTCTGCACTTCACACAGAGGACTCACAGCTGAAACAGAAGAGATGTCCCATGAGATCAAGGTTGTGAATACAAAACAGCACTCAGAGATGCAAATCAGCAACAAAAAATAACTCCAGAAACCCAAGATGTTTTCCTCCTGTCTCAACCAGGCATCATCTTTCTAGGCACAGAAAATGTACTGGTGAAGTGGGGAGCTGCATTTTGTGGCTCAGCTCCTTCCCCATCAGGTACCAGAAGGTTGATCGAGCACCCCTGAGGCAAGAGCATCATCTGGATAATAAATAATAATAAAAATAATAATACATTTGAAAAGCAACCCTCTGCCTGTTTGTTTGGCAGCCCTCCAGCTAGCTAATTTCCTCAGCTGCTCCCATGATAACAATGACACAGACTAATGCAACCTCCAACTCCGCTCCGCTCGTGCTGCAGAACATCCCCGACGGCATTTACCATTAGTATGGAGCTCAATGAGATAGGAGGATCTCTCCACAGGACTCCCGTAATCCTCGAAGTAGATGGCAGGCTGCTCTCTCCACTGCATGGCAGCTCCCACATCGGGAAGCAGGCACGCTTGGCTTCAGGGACGGGGCCAGGGAGACAAGTCAGATGTGAAGTTCCTCCCTCCCTCCCCTCCGAACGCCGATCCTCAGTTCACAGCTCCTTCAAGGGGAGAGCTGCAGAGCTTTCTCCTGAAGAAGCTACAGAAAGCACAGAAGGTTTTCCTCTGCTCTCTGCAGAACTAAACGTTTTCTCCCCTCCCCTCTGAGGAAGGTGGCTCAGACTTCAGTTAAATCGTTTCCCTATCGCTGTCTAAGCAGCAGGATGTTTCTAAGTGCAAGTTGTTGGAAGGCTTAGCTGCGGGACAAAGAGCTTTTAAGCATGACCGTGGTGGGGAAGCCAGGTTTCGTGTGCCACGCTCTCTTCTTTTGGAATAGAGCAAGAACTTGCTCACCAGTGAACGTGAACAGCTAAGGGGATAGGAGTCCAAGTGCTGACTGCTCACAGCGAGGAGCCTCCCCCCTGCCCCCCGCAAGCAAAGGAAACAGATATTTGTGGAGCTCACAGTACAAGGGGCATGGCAAAGTAAACGAACTGAGCTGCTCACAGATGGCAAAGCTTCCTTCCACACTGGTGTAACTTATCCCAGGCGTTCCCTGAAAAGGGAGAGAGGGAAAGAAGGGGGGGGGGGGGGGGGAAGGAAAAGCAAAACCAGCTGGCTGCTTACACAAGGCATCCGGAACGATACTGCCGGGACTCCAACATTCCCATTCAGTGCAGCAGAGCATGCTCCTGTGTAAATAGTTTCCATATGTCATCATTACAATAAAAAACAAAAAACCACAAAAAAAAAAACAACAAAAAAAAAAACAAGAAAAGAGAAAGAAAAAGAGCAGGAGCAGAAACTTTGCAGAGCCCAAACTTCTCCCTTTGCGAAACAAATTCCCTGCTTAAGGGAAGGGAAAAGTCTCCTTTGGCTCAGAGAGCAAATATACTCCTCTGGTTCAGAGATGCTCATGGGGGATCTCGAGAGCAGAGCTGGAAGGGGAAGAAGGGACAGAAAACATTCCCAGGAATACACCACCCCTCCCAGCCAGGCTATTACATGTCAAACTAAGTCAATTCAGACTCTCATTGTTTGCTCTTTGGTGTCTGCATTTGTTTTAATCGATAATATATACGTATTTTTTAATCCAAACTAGTAACCTCCTAGAGATTCAAAGAGTTATAAACAAACTCTACAGGGTAGCTCTCCCATTTGCCTCCGAGCTCTCCCAGTCTGGCTCTCATTAGCCTGTTTGCCAGATGTTCTGCTTTCTAGATAGCACACGCTTTTTATGGCATTACACTGAAACAGACTGAGATGCTCCTAATTACCTCGCCTGTCTCCAAAGCCATGTGCCTTTACTGGACTCACCAGGGCTTTCTCCTACAAGGCTGAGGAAGGTCTTGATGGAGCTGCTCGTTGCCATCCTGCCAGGATAATGCTATTTTAGCACGCATACCTGTGATAACAGAACTCTGCAAGCTGTGTGGAAGGCAGAGCAAGTGACATAATGCAGCAAAAATATCTTTATAGTTCAATCTGTCATTCAGACTGACATCAGCAGCTTCTCTGGTGCACCCTGTGCCAGCGCCTCAGCACCCTCACAGGGAAGAGCTTCTGCCTAAGAGCTCATCTCAGTCTCCCCTCTGCAGGTTAAAGCCATTCCCCTTGGCCTGTCCCTACCCCTTGTCCAAAGCCCCTCTCCAGGTTTCTTGCAGCCCCTTTAGGCACTGGAGCTGCTCTAAGGTCTCCCCTTCAGGAGCCTTCTCTTCTCCAGGCTGACCCAGCCCAGCTCTCTCAGCCTGGCTCCAGAGCAGAGCTGCTCCAGCCCTCACAGCATCTCTGTGGCTCTTCTTCATTAAATATAATCTGGTACCAACTTTGTCCTTTCAGCCTTGTTCATAAGAACCGTCTTGCATTTACCCCTACCCTTATAGTCATAATTTCTTCTTCATGAACCCGGTTAGGGCACACACTTGCCAGCTGTTTTTTCACAGGAGCACTGTCTTTTCCTATTGGAGCTGGATACACTTCCAAGAGGGCAGGCTGTCCAAGGCAGATGTGGCTCCCTAGAGCTGAGCAAATGCTTCCGAAGTTTGCTGTGAGAGTCCATATGGATGTGTAAGCAGCACTAAGGTCTCACTGGGAGGCTTCAACCCCTCTGCAAGCAGGGAAAGGGCATGGAGCAGGCTGAGAGTGACCTGGCTTCAGTCCCTCATCACCATCATTGCTGTGCCACTTAACCAGAGCCTTTTCTCCTCAGGCTTTGCATTCATCACACCACCTCTGTTCCTAACACTATCCCTCTTGACTGTATTTGTACCCAATTACCCTAACTCACAGAGCTCAAGCTTTCAGTTAAAAGGAAACTGAACCAGGCACCCAGCAATGCTGGAAGGCCATGGAAGAAGGCAGATCCCAACAGGATCAAAGATGCTTTCCCAGACCTCCTGACCTGTCCCAGTGCAGGATCCCCAATGCTGGCTCAAGCTGCCAGCTCTCTGAGGCTGCAGTGAGGATGAAGAAGGCTGCAGGAGGAGGACAGCATTTATCTGTCAAGAGAAGCAGCAGCACTCCTCTCTCCTGGAAAGCCAGGAACTACATGAGGTGCCCACACAGAAGACAAATCCATGAAAAACCATGGAAATGAAGTAGATGCCTACCCTTCCTCAATACAAGCTGTACAGGCGCCTGCAGTCCCAAAGCCAAGATATTAGTCAAGTATGCTGGAGTTGTACCAGCACCAACCATGGCATTTTCCCTTCCAAGTGCTTACATGCCATGTAGCTTCACCTCCAGAGGATTTATCTCCCCACTCCATTGCGGCTGATAAGAAACTGCTCCTTTTCAAGTGCTGAAGCATGAACATGTGTGCATTTGGCTTCTTCAAGGCCAGACTCACCTACCCAGGAGGAACAAAAGCTGGAAGCTGCCTGGAAAGCGCAGCTGGTTTGGCATTTGGCCACACATCTCAGAGGTGAGAGATACAGACAGCGAAATCACTGCCTTCAGTGCCTGATTGCCAGTTCAGCACCGCAGGAGCGAGCTCTGCAGCTCAGCACATCCCAGCGCCTGTCCTGCTTTCAGGAGATGTTATGGGGAAGTCGGAACAATTTACTAGCCGTTTGTTGCCTAGGAAAAGCAGGGCAGCTCCAGAGTACAGTGCCAAGCCCTTCTGCTGCAAGAGAAATCATTTCCTCGCGAGTATTTCAAGTCAGTGTAACTGAGTCACGCTCCTCCTTAGAGACGACTGCACAGCAGAAACATATGCAAAGGCCTCAGGGCTCTTTGTCTTACTATACCCTCACAGCACTCACTTGCTGTGAAGCTCAACAAATAAAGTCACTTCTGCTTCCTATTTAACACAGAAAAGTTTATTGGTAAAAATATGGATGTTGCTACTTCCTGTTAGTGGCATGAGGCGACTGAAGCACTGACCCCACCTTCCCCTGAGAATCCAGGCAGTTCCTACAGCATCAGCATGAGCTCCCTTCATGTTATCATCCACCACACTCCAGGGAGCTGAATCCACATGAAGGAGGAGCAGATGTCCCTCAGCATGGTAAGCCACTTCTTATCTATTATTGCCTCGTATCAGTTGTGCTGCCTATCGTCTTATAGCAAAGACAACTTAAGCCCAGCGTTGTTTAATTAGAGGACCGCTGTATCCTTGCTAACATCTGCACTGTACACATGTAACAACCCTGATGCACAAGCTGAACACGAGGACAGAGCAGCTAAAGCTTGGGAGGAAACTGTTTTGTCTCAGCAGAAGCCATGGCTCCGGCCAGCAATTGCTCTGAGTGGGTCAGAGCCAATAGTCAGTTAACCCTTTGCTTTGCAGCTCACTCACCATTCAATGGGGGATGAGCTATGACAATTCACTTGGACATTTACCTCCTGCACCACCTCACAGGGAAAAAAAGGGACATTTGTAAGAAAGAAGAAGACAAAGCAAAAGGCTTCTAAGAAAATAAGGGTAAGGGATCAGTTAGTTGGAGATCCTCATCTGTGCAGCTCACTGCCTTGTCTCTTAGGGCATCCACCCTCCTTTGATCTCAACACTGACTCACTCTGGGCTTGATTCTTTTTCCTCTTGCTATGTTGGAAGTTTTGACCAGAAAATGCTTGACTGCTGGCCAATTGTCACTCTTGAATATGTAGCAGCAAGAGGCAGAGGGACAGATCCCTTCCACTTGGGATGCCTGGGATCCACACTCAGGTTAGTGAGAGGCTTCAGTGGCTGGAGATGAATTGACAGATGCTTTGTCACCCTTAGAGAGGCCAGCCCTGACCCCTCTAAGCCTCCCATAGCTCACTGATACACACCAGACCACACAGCTCAAAAGCCTCATCAAAGGAGGATCCCTCCTGGTGTCCCAGAGCTGCATCCTGCAATAACAACATTACCTGCCTTACCAGCTCTTGCTCCTCAGCTGCATCTTCTTCCAGCAGCTCACACAAACCACTGCATGCATAAGCCCTCTTCCACAAAGCTGCTTTCTGCCAGATGTGTGACTAAATCCTCCTGCATGAGAAAGTCCATGAAATACCGTAAGAGAGCCAGAACCTGACATTCCACAGGCTAAGACTGTGTAACACTGGAGTACCTGCTTCTTAACAGAGCTGCAAAGTCCAACCACAGCAGTTTTATTCTGTAATACTCACATAAAAGGTTGTGTTAGGAAAATACAATTAAGAATCTCGCTAGTGTGTTAAAGCAAACTGCTGCCTGTTTCATATCCTTTATTTCTGATCTTCACAAGCGAACCTCCATACCACAAAAAGGAGAAGTCAAAACCACAACAGAAGGATCATCTACAGCCTTACATCACCAATCATTTTATATGCGCCGTAATCTTGTCAGACTGATCCTATCACAGCAACAAAGGCTTTACAGACACAGAAATAGAATTCTTCTGTAACTGGGATTAAATAGCCGAGCCACTGAGGGGCTTTACGATACAGCTGATTTAGAATGGAATAAAAACAACTGGATATAATAAAGGTTTTACTTACCACCCCCCAAAATAAAGAGACAAGCTCAAAGAGTATGGCTCATGAGAGGCCAGACATGAAATACACACAATTCCTAATGTACTTTTGGAGGAAGCAACAGGAAGGGAAAGAGACAATATCTGAATCTCTCAGATAGAGCAGTTCTTTAACATACCCTGTTACATGAAGGAATTTCCTCTTTTTGTACCAAAAAGGGAAACTGATGCCTCATGGTTTTAAGACGTTAAAAGATCTGCTTTAGCATCAGTAACAACACAATGTCAGCATTTTAAAAGCACGTTCCTCATTTCAATTCTCCAAAGCAGAGCCTTTGGATTTGCCTGATACCGTTTGGAAAGATGTTTGATTAAGCTGCAATCTGGCCTTTTTACCCAAAGCAGTGTGCTGCCAGGTCCCACTGCCAGCTCCAACCCTCCAGGGAAGTCACAGCTAGCAATGGGAAGGACTTTCCTTATGTGAGGAAACCAGTATTAGTTTGGGCAAAAACCTCCTGCATGACCACCCAGAACTGGAGCAGGACTAGAACAGAGTAGGCAGCAATAAGGCACACCCTAAAGAGAGAGGGACAGCAAGAAAATGAGATAAATTCAGTTAAATAACAAGATTATGGCAAAACTCCAATGCCTTACCATGACAGGCTGAGACTGATGGCAGTTATTTGTTGTGGTACAGTAGGGAGAGGTAGGTAATTGTGTTTTGTGGTGCCAGAACACAACTCCACCACGCTGGTTCTGAATGATAACACAGCCACAACTCCTCTGCCTCACCATTGTGCCTCAGCCAGGAAGGAGAAGCTGCCAACTTCAGAGGAAGCTGCACATAAAGGGATGGGGAACCCCCCAGTCTCTGGTGCTGTGTAACTGCTCTCCAGTAAGATCTCTGCACATGTGGCAGGAACTGAAGAGGTTACATGGCTGTGGAGGAAGGAAGGAGTTAAACCATTAGCGAGGAAGGAAGGAAGGAGTTAAACATCTGCAAACCAGCAGCCAGGGGGGTTTCCCTCAACCGGTCCTTACTCCAGGTGCTACAGTTCTCATGCTTAACCCTATCTTCAGAAGACGGACAATTTTGATGTCTAAAGTCTTCCAGCACTGCAGAACTCTCTCCAACTCTCAGGAAGTGATTCCAAACACTGTCAAATACGTGCTTATTCCAACAGACACAATTTCAGTGTTACCCAGTTACTGAAACTACCTCTAAGCCTCATGGGTCTTGGATGAGCAGGAACAAGGGCACTAGAACCACACCAAGCATGAATACAATGGCACCATCACCTGCCTACCCTAAACATGATTCTTATTGTAAGGTCTGAGGAATACACACCTCATATACACACTGGACAAGTGTCCCACATGCTCACTTTCAGCTCAGTTGATCGTGCAAGGAACATTGCAGTTGGCGGAGGGACAACACGTAACCCCTGTGACAGCCCCTGCTAATAACATACCTATTCACCAACCACTCCCAACCAGCTGGATTTTGAGACCTGTCCCTCAGACTCTTTGCAGACTCACTGCCTACACAGTGTTGATTTGTACTGTTCACTTCCTCAATCCAAATGCTGTGGGGGTGCCAAAGTAAATATCTTCTCAAAACGGCATCAAGCTCTCTTGCAACCTCACCAGGTAAGTTAGAGCATGGGTTCAGCTCCATATGGCACTCACCTTTCCATAAACTCACACTGGCCAACATGGAAAACTGCCCTTTAAGTCCAGATCTTAGAAGAGCTGTTGCTGGTTTCCCATTATTTTGCCTGGAAACCCTGTTTGGCTGCAATGTCCTGCCTGGTGCAAAATCTCTTCGGGGGCTAGAAGGAAGTCTTTATCACAGCAATATTCACACTGCAGCCCTAAGGGAGAATAACAAGTGATCTGCTGCTTTTAAATGCCTACCTCTAGATTCAGCTGTTTAACCTCTATTTACCACAGGAATGGAAGAACAGAGCATGCAATGACCAGGTTATCTGTTTTCTCAACAAATACACACTACACAGAGGATTTCTTGAGCTTCCCCAGAGCATTACTGACCAGTGGTCAACCTTGAATTCCTACCAGGTCAGTATCACTTCACATGTCTTTTTGTTTCTCAAGTCCTTTAAAGCACCTTCAAGTCACAGAATTACAGGATGGGATGGAAAGGACCTTAAGATCACCCAGCTCCAGTCTGCTGGCACAGGCAGGGACACCTTCCACTAGAGCAGCTTGCTCCAAGCCCCTGTGTCCAACCTGGCCTTGAACACTGCCAGGGATGGGGCAGCCACAGCTTCTCTGGGCACCCTGTGCCAGCGCCTCAGCACCCTCACAGGGAAGAGCTTCCTCCCTACACCCAATCTGAACTTCCCATTTCTCTTCATGATTTTCTTCCACTCCTTTCTTCCTTTGCTATACAGCAGTGCAGCTGCTTTCATGGCAGCCACCACAGGCATGTCTGCACCATGTTTTGCTACCTCTCCAACAGCTTTAAAGCTTCCATGAGCATTTAATTGTGCTCTCTCAAAGCATAGGAATAATTTTCCATGTTTTGACGTCTTCCCCTTTGCAGCCACCAGAGATAAGGTCCTGCCACCAGCTTTGTGTTTGAAAGGAAGGGGCTTTGCCTTGCTCACTTCCCCCTTCCTGACTCCGAGGCCAAACTCCTCCTTGGGAACTTGCTTGGAAGCATTTACTGGCAGGACCAAAGCACCTGCAGCAGGTCAGGAAAAGGACAACACTTACTACTACTTGCAGGTAGTAAGGCAGAGATACAGAGCAAAGCAGCCAAGCAGTCAGCAAGAATTCCTCTCCTCAATCCCATTTCCGGTACTTGTGTTCTGCTCAGCACCCTGGCAAAACAATGTTCCCCTCAGCACCATGAAAACAAAGACACAAAACCCAGCAGTGTTTTCCTATTTCTGCAGTGACTCACCATGAGCTAAGTGAATACCCAGCTGGATATCACTGGGAGGTGGTGCAGGAACGCTGCATCGACAAGAGGGATTACACAGCCACGCCTGTGCCTCTCACCAGGCACGGATGCCCCCAGCCAGGCTGAGTGTGTCACAGGAAAAAGGGGATGGAACATGGAAATACTTCCTTTGGAGCCTCATACCCCCAGCCAGCAGCCCGAGAGCACTTACCCTGGAGGGTGGCATTCCTTCCTCCTCCTCCCGTGTCTGATTATTCTATAATGGCATGGCCAGGCCACCAGTACATTTTGACCCTGGCGGGTTCTCAGTGCTCTCACTTGCAGGATTGATCACTTCAGCTTCATTCTACAGGCATTTCTTCATTTAGTTAACAAAAAGCGGGAATGTATTTGTGCATTCTAGTGCAATCCTTTAGCAGCTACATTGCTTTTGTACAAAGAACTTTCCCAAACGCACTGAGGATAGCGAGAGTGCTCTCAGAAAATCAGTTATAGTTGGAATAAAACACAGATGATGAGACAGTCCCAGATGACAATGTTTGCACACACATGTGTGCGAGGCAGTCATGTAGGAAATGCAGGAGTCCAGCCCCATAGAATGAGGGGCTTTAACAAGGCTGTGCAGAGAGATACATCCTAAATTTTATTCCTCCACATAACTGGGAAAGGAAAAGCCTTTTGTTCCAAGCAGACACCACCAGACTGTGACTACGGATCACAATAATAATCAATAATCTTTGAGGCCAGAGGTCACAGAGATGCTGCGAGGGCTGGAACAGGCTGAGAGAGCTGGGCTGGGTCAGCCTGGACAAGAGAAGGCTCCTGAAGGGGAGATCTTTGAGCAGCTCCAGTGCCTAAAGGGGCTCCAGGAAACCTGGAGAGGGGCTTGGGACAAGGGCCTGTAGGGACAGGCCAAAGGGAATGGCTTTAACCTGCCAGGGGGGACACTGAGATGAGCTCTTAGGCACAAGTTCTTCCCTGCGAGGGTGCTGAGGCGCTGGCACAGGGTGCCCAGAGAAGCTGTGCCTGCCCCATCCCTGGCAGTGTTCAAGGCCAGGTTGGACACAGGGGCTTGGAGCAAGCTGCTCTAGTGGAAGGTGTCCCTGCCCGTGGCAGGGGTTGGAGCTGGAGGAGCTTTAAGGTCCTTTCCAACCCAAACCAGGCTGGGATTCTATGATTCTATTATAAAAGCAGCTCTGGATACAAGCTCCAACCCACCCCACTATGATCCGAATCACACTAGGCTCCTCTTGTCATCCTCAGGATCCTTTGTCAGCTGCACAGTGCTGTGGTGGATCAATATGAACACACCTTTCCTGCCTCCCCCTCTCCCAGATGCAAACACCAGCAGTGGCGGTGCGTGAGCTTCCGGCTGAACTGCTCACTGGCAGCAGATGGATGAACCCCTAAAGCTCCCTGTAAAGAAAGCAGCCATGTAAAAACCAGGCATCTTCTCCACATGCAAAAAGCAATTATGCTAAAGACACAGGGAGAGCCCTGCAAGGTCCAGATCAAAAGCCAAAGACGTTGGAGGCAAGAGAAAGACCTATCAAATTCACCGCACTTTTCCCAGCTTAAGGATCAGAAATGGAGCGTTCTGGCTCATAAATTCTACTTCCAGCAAATTCAAGCTTAAATCCCCCCGAAGGCAATAAGGAAAAGGCAATCAACAACAACTCTAACCACTTCACAGATGCTCCTGTTTGGTTTATACAGCACTTCTTACAGCATTCAAATGGGTAAAATGGGATTTCAACGCAGGGGGGCTGACGGCAGCAGGCAGGATTCCTCGCTGAAGATACCAAGGGCAAAGGAAGTTCTGAGAAGCATCGTATTGGTTATGATGAGTGAACTCAGCGTGCTCAGCCTTTGCTCATTTTAATCTGCCACTAAGCAAGCTTGGCTAAACTGAACATCTTGCATCGACAGTGCCTTAAAAATCCACAGGAATCACCAAAATGAACAAACTGATGCGTTCCCTGGGAAGCCATGAAAAAACTCATCACTGTTTGTTTCCAACTGTTGTTCCGCTTCCCGAGCCAAATGTTCCCAAGTCAGCTGCAGTGGCTGAGGAGTGACCGGTTAGAGCCGGAAAGTTGTGGATTTTAAACTGCAGCTTGAACGCTTTCAAGCTCTTTAACATCTTTTATAGTTCCAGGACTGCCTGTTCCAAAAGCGGAGCCCTCCGATGCCACAGCACATGCCCTTACCCCAACATCTTCCAACTAAAGCCATCACCTTGGGGAGAAACCACTTGGCTTTGCCTGTTCTGCTCTCACACCAAAAAGATGTGAGCTGTGTCATAGAGAAGAGGCACACAAAAGGAAGGGGCTCTCACCTCAAAGCATCAAGGTCATTACCCCTGTGTTCACAAAAGGAGAAGCAGCTTCCAGACTCCTTGCCCCACTCCACAGCATCCTCCCTAATTTACAGTGAGCATGTTTGAAGGATGATATCCATTGCTAGGGCTCCGGGAGATGACAAAGGAGAAAGAACCATTTGACTGCAGGATAATAGAACACTAACCAAAGTCATCTTTACCTTGCATCCTCTTTTACTCGCTCACATTTGAACAGCATGGGGCATTCAAGACCAAATCACTTGGACTTCTTATTTTTTACTGCACCAAAGAGTCAACAGTGCTGGGATTCTGTTGGACAAAGCTTCCTACTGTGAAACACACAATGTGTGCATTGTGCCAACCCATCTCCTGCAGGGCGAGGAAAACAAGGCAGGCTTGGAAAAAACACACACATGATGACTGCAGCCCCCAATCCCTCCTGGTACTTTGCTCCTTCTCTAGGTACCACAGAGTCCTGTTGAGAAGGTCTCAACACAAATACTTTTGTGAGGTCTCGACAACACCGTGTTGTTTCTCTTGCAAAGGTACCAGCTCTACCCATTCTGTACAAGTACTTAAAGCATAGCTGAGGTGGTTGGTCCTGCCTTAAAAACCCCTGAATTCTCAGGATAAATGACATTGCAGAGGGTGATGCGTTTGGAACTTAAAAGCAGAAACACATTTTCCACTATTTCTAACATTGTTTGAAAGATACCCAACATCTAAAAAGCAGCATTCACCTCCTCCCTCTGAGTTCCCAGTGCTCATCACCCAGGGAAACAAATTCTACTGAAGGAGAAAACAATAATCTCCTTATGTTTTGGGTGTTCATGTCCCTTTCCAACATCTTCACCCCTCACGCATCTCAGAAGCAGTTCTGCTTCGCTTTGATTGCTTAAAACATTCATTACAAGTCATCGAGGCCAGGAAAGGATTAGAAAATCACTGGCAGAAGACGGGAAATGCAACAAGGCTGTTAGGTGAGAGAAATGAGACTTTCAGAAGCATAAACAGCAACCCAACACCGAGCTACCACTTGTGCTCCAGTAGAAAATTCCTCCCTCTGTATACATTTTAAGCAGGTATATATTAAGAAAAGCAAATCATGCACAGCAATGCGAAGCTGCACCTTGTCAGAACCAGGTCATGAAGGCTTCCTGCCCACTTCCAGGCTTCCTGCCCACTTCCAGGGAGGTGTCATCCGTGCTTTACGGATGAGACATGCTGACCACAGTGACGTTAACTGACGTACCTAGGTATGAGGAGGAGCAGCTTCAACAGCAAAACTAGACTGCTTCCAAAACTGAGATCCCTGTCCTGTGCTCTGGCCATGCTTCACCCCTACAGGCTGCAATGGAAGCACTGCTACTGGAACTAATGAAAGGCAAATCAGCCTAGGAGCCATGAGGTGGGAAAATATCCTGCCCAGCATCCAAGAAAGCCAGATAACCAAAGAGGCTGCTGGAGAGCCCGCCAGTGAGAGATCCCAGGATCTGCCAGCTCCATTGCAAGCCTTTACATGTTCCCTCATCCCTATTTCCTCACACCAATTAGCTGCAGCATTTCACAACCAGAGCCCAAATCCACATAAGCTTTGAAATCCTCACTTTCCCACAAGATCCTGAAGGATTCATTAAATCTGTTAGATGGCTGACATTTTAAATGCCTGTTTTCCTTCACAGGTAGCAAAGTCAGGATGCTTTCACAGCAACTAAAGCAGTCGCGCAAGCACAGCTACTGAGTTTGTGTGGTCGCAGCATCTCCCCAAAACTCAGGTATTTATGGTCTGATCCCTCAGTCCATCAGAAAACACACTTATTTTACACCTGGAGAGCTCTTTCATCCTCGGATGGCACTACAGGAAGCAGTGGGAGGAATGAGGCAGAGATGTTTGTGGAGCAGGGACTCACTGCCCAGATGAGCTGCGAGTTACCAGGACAGGCTCACTTTCCCTCACTGCTGATACAAACATGTTCTGGACCCTGATCCAACACAGAAGAGAATTATAACACTTCAGGTTGCATTGGTCACTGCACATGTCAAAATATCCATGTCTCAAAAGAACAACATTAACTGCCCTCAATCCAAGAACAAATGTCTACCTGTGGATTGGGAGATGAATTGTCTGTTGTACAGAGCATCCATTAATGCTATAATTAGACTCTGTGTCCAGAAACATGATTTTCCATCAGGCAGCTCCACAAAGAACAGCTTTGCTGAAAGCCTCTTCACACATCCCATCACAGCATGGGGCCGAGGTGCAGAAGCAAGGCGAGGGGGAGGCCTCCTTCAGCAGCTCCAACAGCACAGCACACACCACACACTGCTCCACAGACAACACCCACAGCCTCCGGGGCAGTCACTGCTTTCCTTACCCACAGCCACATTCCTCACCAAGGACTCTGGGCCTCTTGCTCTTCCTCAGCAATGCACACTAGCAACGCTTCTTCTACCCAAAAGCCCAGGCTGGCTCTAGTCCTCCTGACAATTCACTCCTCAGGCAGCAGACCCTGAGATCACAAAGGCTCAGCTGAAACTTCAGCCTTCCAAGTTTTAACTTCCCATGTTCCAACAACCCTTCTAGAAAGCATCTCACCTGGCTGTTGCAGTTGCTCCCTCCCCTCCCCATGTCCAATAATTCATTTTTACCTCAACAGCAGATGCAGCTGCTTTCTTGTAAAAACCCAGAGTTTAAAGATGACTTCTTCCACTTGCCATAATCCATTGTGTGGGAGAAACAGACAATATTATATTGTTCCCTGTATGACACTTCGAGCTGTACTTTCTGCTCTGAACACACTGAAACTCCACTTGAGGCTACAGCAATTTCCATGCGGGAGGCAAAGGAGGATCTTGCATCTGATCTAATACAGGCTAAATCAATGTGCACTCATTTATTGCTTCTAGTTGCCATCAGCTCAAGGAGAGAAACTGCCCTAGAGTTTCAAGGCTATCCATGCCGCCTTTGTCTAGGGAAAACATTGGAGATCTGTTGAGAACCCCATCTGAATGCTTCCCAGGAGTGTGGGTGAGGGATGGGAGTCACTAAACCCTGGCTGCTTCTCACTGGTTTCAGCACATCATTTTGGGAGAAGTCGCGTAAGGATTGCATCCCTTGGGTCTGCCTTCTACAGAAATGCAGTTCCTGGTAGTCATTCACTCAGAGAGGTGCTGGAAAGCTTCATTAGAGCGTGTGCAGCACTTGGAGATTTTCAGGTAAAATGGATTAGGGAAGGGCAGCATCATTAGCATGGATTCAAGTGATGAAAGCACTTCCCTCTGTCTCCTTCAGCTGCTGGAGCTTGAAAGGAAAACTACCCAGCACCACAGTCCTATGTGTTGTAGTCAGAAAACCATCAGCACCACAAGGACCACGGTTTTCTGGATGTGGTCTGAATTCCCATCACCTTTACAGGATTCTGACCTTCTGCTGTGGCTGTAAACAGGAGCCCCCTGGAAGAGGTGTCTCCAGCATAAACCAAGGCAGAGCTTTACTATTCCTCTCCATGCAAGGATTTTCTGCTGCTAAGTGTGATTAGGGAGATTAATTTTTGCAGCTGGACATTTTATTTAAGAATATCATTTTCCACCCAGTTTTCTCCTTTAGCTTTCATTTATTCTAACCCAAGACACCCACTTACCCAGAAGAGGACTCTTCTGCAAGGTTCACTCTTGCACTTCAGTCCTTTCTTTGGCATCAACAACAGACTTGTTTTCAAAAAGCCCTGTTATTACTTATTGCAGCTTGTCTGCATTGACAAACAACATCAAGAGTCCAAAACTATGAATTCATTTATCCAAGGACCCGATTGTAACAAAGCCACATTATGGCTCAAGTTGTTTGTTTGACTTCTAAAGCAAAAGAAGTTCCTTAAAAGCCACGAGAGCTGAGACATTGAAATCACACAGATACACAGTGCTCAGGATGGAATATGGATCAATATTTAGAGAGGTTCATTGAAACAGCAACACAAAACAGCTTGGTTCTTATCAGCTCTGGGTGTATGATTCAATACAACTTCACACCTTTACACCCACTTCACTTTGTCTTTCCCTCCATGTCACCTGGGAAGAGGCTGGTGGGTCCTTCACTGCAAACAGTCCCAGCTAGTATCTGGGAAGAGACTTCAATAACAGCTTTGTGTTTCACCTGCCACCACATCTCCAAGAGCTGATGGCTGGGCACAGTAACAAGTGAGCTATTCCTCCAAATGCTGGCTGAACCATGAGAGTTTAGGCATAAGGAACACAGAACCAGAAGGAAACTGCCTTCTGAGCTGCCCTGTCCCATGCCTTCATCATCACCCTGCCAGCACTCCCCCTCCTGAAAAGGGCTTCTCACATCCCTGAAAAAGACAAGCTGAACAAAAACGTGAAATCACACAGCTCTGTTAATGCCATTTCAGTCCTCAGCAGAGGAGTGGAGGCAGAACAGAAGGGAAACATTTGAATTGCTCCCAGCCTCCATGGGACATTGTGCATTTCACAGTGGATTTCCTTTGCAGGCAAAGAGGAAAGCTGGACCACACATTCTGCTTCCTAAACAAGCTTACTTTGCTAGCAATGGCATCAGCCTGTTCACTCACTAATTCAAGCTTCCCGCTTCTCAGAGATAAATAATTGTGCCTTTCATGTTGTTTCTCCAGCTTTCTCCTTCTAATCTTTCATTCCCTTCTCCCAGTACTCCCTGGCTTCACAGGGCTCTGTATCACCCAGTATCCCTTGCATAGAATAAGCTTTGTAATTTCTCAGCAATTTCAACTCGAACAGTGATTAAAACAGCAAAACTTCTTCAATGCCAAAAGACCCTTTATGCAAAGAATCCCAGGAAATGAGTTCTCAAAAACCACACAGCAATCTTTCAAGCAGCACAAAATTGGTCCCTAAACAGTTTCCCTGTATTTCAAGTGAAGCAGACTGGAACAGTTTTATTTATTAATATGCTCATCCTCACACTTGTGCTTTAACATGGTGGCTTTAAAGAAGTTGTGTGAGGTTTATCACTGGGTTAAAGAGATGGGAGGTGGGTGGAAGAAAAAGATGAGTGAAGAGGGATTAAAAATTACTCACAAGAAAGCCTATAAATATACCAGTGGGGTGAGGAAGCATTCTCTCTTCCATTTAACTTTAAATTAGAGAGCTAAACTTTAAAAGACAAAGAGACGTAATGGAGCAAAGATGCAGCAGAGCTGAGAGAAAGTCAACTGGGCAGTTTAGCCAGGGATGGGTATTGCAGAGGTGGGAGAGGAGGAGGGAGAAGGAATCTTGAATGTCAGGAACCAGCCCCTGGCTCAGGAAGTTGCAGGAGGAAACTGAGAGAAGCCACACGGTTGTGATAGAGAAATCACAGCACAGGATCACAGAGGCAGTGTGGATTAGAGGTATAACGGAGGAAAAAGGGATGCCAAGCCAGGAAATTATTTATTTGTTACAAATGTTAATCTCGTGGCAGCAAGGGCTTGAATAGGCTCACAAGACCTGCCAACACACCTGCAATGTAGATTGGAAGTCAGAGGCTGTGCTGAGCCAAACTGCTCAAATACATTCAGTGAGGTATAACATAAACCAAAGACTCACTGAATGTGCACAACCACATCTGCTGTTCCCATCTCTCCAGTGCAGGGCCATGGCTTTGACAGAGATATGCTGAGGAGAAAGCAATGCTTCCAAGAGGTGGGCTTGTGTTTCCTCCCCTCCTGACACGCACAGCCTGGCACTGTCCCACTGAATACTTTGGGACTAACATAAGTGTATTCTCTAAACGTACTCCAGCTTCTTTGGTAAGAACACACTGAAGATGTTAAAGTGATTTAGCACCATGTATCACTTACCTGACTGCAAAAATCAGAACGTAAACTAGAAACAGGCAAAACAAGAGTTGCAAAGGAATAGGAAAATCCTCCAGAACATCATCAGAGCCGCTGTATCTGCCAGCTCAGGCCACAGGTACAGCACAGTGGCCAGTGCTGAGGAAAGGAGATGCCAGTGCGCAGGAAAGGAGATCTGAGCTTAAGGACAATGAGCTCCCAGGTTATTACACGGAAACCACAAAGATGTGTGTTAGAAACAGCAGTGAAGGACCTGTCTACCCAGTGTCCTTCCCCTCGGTGCTGGGAGTAAACAAGCAACACAATAAGCAACTTCCTGATCTGGTTTTCCCAGGCAGGCGGCCGGGATGCCGAGTGACAGCTCCCAGAGGTTCAGGGCCTGGCAAGCACTACAGAGAGCAGCCACTACAAAGAGGGAAAGCAGCGAGGCCAGCACAGCAGGCAGGAAACAACGACAAAGTGATCTTACTTTCATTAGGCAGCTCCTCCCGGTCCGCATCATCGAGGGGGGCTGAGGCGCTGCTTCCACTGTCATCCAGGGTGAGGATAAGGGGAACGTCATCATCCATGCTCACAGCCATCCTCTCCCTTCAGAGGCTCCTGCTCCAAGCACTTTAAACGATGCCTGTTTCAGTTCCACTTGTAACATTGATGTCAAAAACTCTCCCCAGGGATTCCTCCACCTGGGGTGTCTTCTATACGTAAGAACACAAAGGTATGCGGACCCATTTCTCGAGACCACAGCTCAAAAAGGATCTAGCAATTTGCTTTCAAAACGCAGCACAGGATACCAGACCCACCGGCAGGATTTACGCCAAAGCTAAACGCAGAAAGCCAGGTCCAGGCCGCTCCTGTCAGCGCACAGCTCGCACCGCAGCACGGAAGCAAAAGAAAGTGCTTCTTGACAAACTCCTGAGCACTCGGCGCAGGAAGCGAACAGGAGTGCCGCATCCAGAGCCAGCATGATGCTAAGTGTCACCACCGCACACGGCTCTGTCCCCTGCCATGCCAAAGCGCCTCAGCTCCAAGTGCGGAGGGGAAAGAGGCCGGGTTGAGGCCGCACACATGAAGTTCTCGGGGGCTTTCCTACTGGGTGATGCCACCGGCACAAGGTCTCGGGGCTCTTTAAGAGCTGGAGGAAGAGAAAACTCAAGCAGGGCCTGGGCAGCGTCACGGGACGCCCCACAGCCGGTACCGCCGCGCTGCCGTCACTCCCCCATCTCCGTCACGGCGGAGGCCGCATCCCTTCAGCGACAGGCCGAGCCCCCCCGGGGCACCGGACGTGCGGCTTCGCGGCGGACAACTCCCGGGACCGCGGCCTGCGGGAGACAGGGACACCGAGACGGGGCTGGCACCGCGCTGGGGGAGGCGGGCCCCGCCCCGCTCCCCTCCGAGGCCCTCCCCGAGGCCCCGCCGCCCCCGGCCCGCTCAAACCGGCTCCATCCCCTCCTTGCCCCCCCCCGGCCCGGGCAGCGCCTCCCGCCGCCGGACCTCAGGCACGGCCCCACCGAACCGGCGCCCGCTGCGACACCTCTCCTCAGCGCCCCGCCGCCTCTCATTGGCCACGGGCAGCGCGGGCCTCTCCCTCCAGCCAATCCACGCTCCGCGCACGCTTCGCCCCGCCCACCGCCAGCCCTCGGCCCCGTCGAGAGGCGCTGAATTATTCCCGCCTCCCCCCACCCGTTTGGACTCGCCATTGGCTCGCGGAGCTGTCACTCCGGCCAGGCGGGGATGCTGATTGGGTGCGGCGGTGGGAGGAAGGGGCGGGCTCTCGGGGGACACGGGCGCTGGCTGCCATTGGCTCTGCTGAGGACCCCGAGGAGCGGTCGCCTAGCAACGGTGCGGCGCGAAGCCGGGCCCACAGAGGAGGAGGAGGAGGCGGTCGCCATGCTCTCATGTCAGGCCGCTGCCCGCTCTAAGGGCAATTACCTGGCTCCTGCAGGCTGCACATGCCGTTACAGTGCTGATTTCAGCGGAAAGCACCCCTCCACCACCACAGCTGCAGCCACGGAGCAAGCAGTTTCCTCACAGCATCACCTTTGCCAGCACGGAGAGGCTGCGTGGTCCCCAGGACACAGAGCAGTGAGGCCGCTGCGGATGAGGTGAGGTGAGTGCTGAGAGACACAGGAGCTGGTGCAGGCTGAGAGAGCACAGGTAACACTGACCACACATAAAGCCATCCGTTACAGCTGTCTGCAGCACCAGGGCTGGGCACAGCTGGATTGGGAAGCTAAGCGGTCCTCAGAACGACTGGTGCTTTGCTGGGAGACACAAGGCAAGGGTTGAGTCGATGGCGGAGAGAGTGCTGAGCAGATGGGGAATGAGAACTAAGAGCAGCAGCAGGCAGGACCCCATCTGTAACTGAGCATCAGTGACACTGGGCAGGCTGAATCTGAATCACAGAATAGATAGGGCTGGAAAGCACCTTCAGATCACCTAGTTCCAGCCCCAGCCTCATTTCATGCACATTTGGTGTTGGCTTCACACAAGCATCAGCCTCCTGCAGGCAGGGCAGCCCACAGCAGTAACAGAGCAGCTTTGGCTCATGTGATGGATGCACAGCTCCGGTAGAACAAGAGGACAGGGCAGCAGTAAAGAGTCAAATGTGAGTGAGAACCACAGGACAAAATCCATACAACCCATTTATACTGTAAGCAATACGGTCCGTGTGGTGTAAAGAGTGAGGAAGTTACCCACGGCTTACATTTTGGGGCAGTTAGCCCAGATTGCTGCTGACTCCCCTCAGTGGATCCCACTCATCCACCCGCTGCTAGGGAACAGGGCTCTGGCTCTTGTGTCAATCCTTAACCCTCTTGTCTCCATCTAGTGTCCAAATCACACTTCGGTTTCTCTCCCAGCCCACTTGAGACACCTGCAGGCTTGTTTGGCACCGTGCTGGCATCCACACGAAGCTGAACAGCCTCAGCCCCATCAGCATCCCCCGATGCTCCAACTGCCTCTGTGTCGCTGCAGTCTTTACCCAGCTGGACAGCACTTGCACTAAGGCAGAGCCTGCCAGGGCTGGCTGGGAGGACACCAGAGCATGACAAGACGACTTACTGTTTGACATTGAGCTCTCCTGCCTTTCAAGAGCAAGAATAACCTTTCTTGCCAACAAACTGGACCAGAATCACAGGCCCCTGGCTGGCTGCCTAAGCTCCAGTGCCCTTTGTGTGCTGAGGTGGGTCTAACCCCCGTCCTGCTGCTGCTCGAGGTGGCAATAAAGGCATTCCTGGGGGCAGAGTGATGCCCTTACCCTGGCTAGGTTTGTCCTTGATTGAATTTGAGGGAACGGTTCCCTTTGTGTGGGAGTTACCAAGCTCCCAGTGACTTCCCTGCAGCCTCCCTGCCCAGGGGAGCAGACCCCAGGTCGCCCAGCCCGTGTCCTTTATGTGCCTCCCTACCTGTATTCCCTCAGACCGAGCTGCACTTTCCCACCTCAGGAATGGACATGGAGGAGCTGCTCTGCTCAGCCAGCCTTTGGACACGCTACCCATGTGCGGATCACACAGCAGCAGCCCACGGTCCAAACATGAGGCCCAGCAGATTTGCCTTGGACCATTTATTCAGTGATGAGCTTGGTGTTGCTGTGAGAGCACCCCATGACCCTCAGTACAAACCGCAGGATCACGCGTTCACTCAGCACGTCCTCATCACCAGAAGCTGCTGAAATGCCTGTGGCAGACCCTTCTCCATCACAAACCCCAACCAGTCCAGGGGCATCCCACCAGCAGCAGGACACAGGGTGATGCCAGTCCTCACCTTCTCCTTCCTTGCCAGAGGGGACCATTAAAGCGCTGATGAAAGGCCAGCAGAGAGCCACCAAGATGGCCAGGGCTGGAGCATGTCCTGTGCACAGGGGCTGAGGGATTGGGGCTCGTTCAGCCTGGAGCAGGGATGGTTTTGGGGGGCTTCAGAGAAGCCTGTACCTGGGAAGAGGAGGTGACCATGAGGACTGAGGCAAGCTCTGTGCAGAGCAGAATGAGAACAGACACAAACCGGATCAAGAAAGGCTCTGCCTGGATATCAAGGGAAACTTTTCACCCCAAGGACAATAAAGTAGGGTCAGAGGTTGTGCCTGCCCCTCTGTCCTTGAGGGCTTCCACACCTCACTGACAGGAGAGCAGCCCAAGCCCAGTCACCTGCTTGAGCAGGTTGGACTAGAGATCTCCTGCAGGCCTGTCGAGCACGAGCGATGCTGTGGCTGTACACATGAGGGAGGACGCAGCAGGACTCCTCTCATGGAGCTGGTCAGCGGAGGTGCCATCAGGACCCTCAGACCTTAGCTCTGTCCCTGCCCGTCCCCACCACACTCCGCTATAGCAGTACCTGTGCCTGGTCCTCCTGGACTCCATGCTGCAGGCAGTCCTGTCTCCTGCTGCTCCAACTTCCCAACTGGACTTCCCGGTCAGAAGGAACCTGACCCGTTACCGCACCTCTGATGACCACTGGGCAGTCAATGGAAGCTGCTGTCACCACCACGGCTGTCCCACTCTGGTGCTGCAGGAGCGTGCCCTGCGCACGGAGGTCACTGCCCGCTTGGCACTGCAGGCACGCACGGCTCCCAGCACAGAGCAGCCCCATCCTTCATTTCCAGCCATGGAAAGGTGCAGGGTCCTCATGGACTTGCCCATCAGGAGGTCTTGGGTAGGCATCCAGAGGGATGTCTGGCTTCACTTCCAGGGAGGCCTGGCCTTGCAGGTACTTGCTGCCGTGCTGCTCCTGGCCAAAGGAGGTCCGGACACACGCTGTGACCGACCCAGCACCCGAGGGGCCGCGGGGGCTGTCAAGGGAACCCCGTTTTTACACCTTCCTGGCTTGGGGCTGTCCAAAGCCCGGCAGGGCCCATCCAAGGGCGTGCTTGGGCAGCCCAGAGACTGGGGTCGTGCTCTGCCTGCGGAGCGAGGCTCGCTCTCGGGACGCTTCCACACACAGGATGTGTCCCGTCGCGACACCTCCGAGCCCGCTGCGGCCGGCGCGTGGGCAGCTCTTACCGGGGAGCCCCTGCAGCAGCGGGAGAGGCCAGGCTGGGCGCGGGGGGCAGGCGGGGGGCTCCAGAGCAGAGCCTGGAGCTTGGCTACATCTTCCTTGGTCATGCGAGGAGCGGCGCGGGCCGGGCCGAACAGGGACTCATCACAGAAAGACGGAGCGTGGCCTCTCAGCCTGCGGGACACAGGAACCGTGCACCAGGATCGGCCACCGCACACGGGGGAGCATCAGGGTCACCCAGCACCCTCCTGAGGGCCACCCGCCCACCCCTGGATACTGAATATAGAGACTTAGACATAAGCAAGGCTACAGAGGTTCCTGAGCTAGGGTTTTACTGTGTATAGAGGAGACAGAGCGCAGGAGCTGCAACACCAGGACCAGGTGCCTTCTCTCAAACCAATGCAGGTTCCTCCTTAGAAACAGGTAAATGGCTGTGAAAGAAACAGCTCCAGGAGCCTCTCAGGGCTGTAAATCAGCCCACACAAGGACACGCAGTTAATCTGGCAAGAGCTCATCAGGGACTGCAGCAACAGGACATGGGGCGATGGGTTCAAACTGAAAGAGGGGAAGTTCAGGTTGGAGATAAGGAAACTCTTCCCTGTGAGGGTGCTGAGGCGCTGGCACAGGGTGCCCAGAGAAGCTGTGGCTGCCCCATCCCTGGCAGTGTTCAAGGCCAGGTTGGACACAGGGGCTTGGAGCAAGCTGCTCCAATGGAAGGTATCAAGGACTTGGAGCTGGATGAGCTTTAAGGTCCCTTCCAACCCAATACCCGCAATACCGGGGGTACGGGTACAACCGTGCCCCCGGGACCCCCGCTCACCTCCGCTGGCCGCTCGGCCTGGACCCGGCACCGGCAGCATCTGCCCATGGCGGGGCGAATGCGGGCGGAGGGGGACGAGAGGCCGCGGGGCTCCCGAACAAGGACTCGTCCACGAAGGATGCCCGAGGACGGCGGCAGCGGCGGCGGCCCCCCCATGGCACCGGGGCCGAGCCCGCTGCACGCATGGCCCCGTTCCGCTTCGCTCCGCCCCTTCCGGTTCCGGAAGGGGCGGAGCGAAGCGGAACGGGGCCATGCGTGGGGTGAGTTCCGCTTCCGCCGCCGTTACCGACATGGCCCCTGCGCGACCCCGCCGCCAGACCCGGGACGCGCCGGTACCGGGGTGGGGGGGACGGACGGGAGGAGGGGGGAGGCCACGGCGCGCGCGTTCCCGCGTCCTCTGCGCCGGCGGCAGCGCGCCACGTGTGTCCGGTGCACGTGTCCCGCGTCCACCGCGTGCTGCTGGGTCTGGTACCCGTGTACCCAGTAACAGTGTGCCAGTACTGATATCCACCATACTGGTGTCCCAGTACCGGTGTCCCAGTGCTGATATCCCCCATACTGGTGTCCCAGTGCTGATATCCACCATACTGGTGTCCCAGTGCTGATATCCCCCGTACTGGTGTCCCAGTACCGGTGTCCCTTGTACTGGTGGCCCAGTACCGATGTCCCAGTGCTGATACCCCCATACTGGTGTCTCAGTACCAGTGTCCCAGTGCTGATATCCCCCATACTGGTGTCTCAGTACCAGTGTCCCAGTGCTGATATCCCCCATACTGGTGTCCCAGTGCTGATATCCCCCATACTGGTGTCCCAGTGCTGATATCCCCCGTACTGGTGTCCCAGTACCGGTGTCCCTTGTACTGGTGTCCCAGTACCGATGTCCCAGTGCTGATATCCCCCATACCGGTGTCCCAGTACTGATATCCACCGTACTGGTGTCCCAGTACTGATGTCCCAGTACTGATATCCACCATACTGGTGTCCCAGTACTGATATCCCCCATACTGGTGTCCCAGTACCAATGTCCCAGTACTGATATCCCCCATACTGGTGTCCCAGTACCAGTGTCCCTTGTACTGGTGTCCCAGTACCGATGTCCCAGTACTGATATCCCCCGTACTGGTGTCCCAGTGCCAGTGTCCCAGTACTGATATCCCCCATACTGGTGTCCCAGTACTGATATCCCCCGTACTGGTGTTCCAGTACCGATGTCCCACTACTGATATCCCCCATACTGGTGTCCCAGTGCCAGTGTCCCAGTACTGATATCCCCCATACAAGTGTCCCAGTGCCAGTGTCCCAGTACTGATATCCCCCATACTGGTGTCCCAGTACTGATATCCCCCGTACTGGTGTCCCAGTACCGATGTCCCAGTACTGATATCCCCCATACTGGTGTCCCAGTGCTAGTGTCCCAGTACTGATATCCCCCATACAAGTGTCCCAGTGCCAGTGTCCCAGTATTGATATCCCCCATACTGGTGTTCTCCATATCGGTGTCCCAGTGCCAGTGTCCCATGTATTGGTGTCCCAGTACCAATGTCCCAGTACAGATGTCCCAGTACTGATGTCCCCCATACTGGTGTCCCAGTGCCAGTGTCCCACTACTGATATACCCCATACTGGTGTCTCAGTACCAATATCCCCATTACCAGTGTAAGTAACCATTCTCAATACTGATGTTGTCCCCCACCTTGCTCTCCCAGTATCAGTGTCCCAGTACTGATATCCCCCATACTGGTGTCCCAGTGCCAGTGTCCCAGTAGCAGTGTCCCTTGTACTGGTGTCCCAGTAGCAGTGTCCCAGTACTGATGTTCCCCATACTGATGTCCCAGTACCGATATCCCCATTACCAGTGTAAGTAACCATTCCCAACACTGATGCCTCCCATGCTGCTGTCCCAGTGCCAGTATCCCCAGTATTGCTGTCCCAGTATCAATGTCCCCAGCACCATTGTCCATGCCCTCCATGCTGGCAATGCAGAGCTGCAGCCTCTGGCACCACTGTGGCCGCAGCCGTGTCCCCACTGTCCCCAGGTCCCTGTGTCCCCGCTGCCTGCCTTCCCCAGCACCAAGGAGGAGGATGATGCCGAGGCCGATGCCGAGCCGGACACACGGGCCCTGGTGCGGGCCCAGAACCAGAAGAAGAAGAAATCCGGTGGCTTCCAGTCAATGGGTGCGTGTGGGGCCTGGGGCAGCGGTACCCGAGTGGGGACCGTCCCTCACCTGCACCCCTTCACCCGTCCCCATCCCCGCAGGCCTCAGCTACCCCGTCTTCAAGGGCATCATGAAGAAGGGCTACAAGGTGCCCACCCCCATCCAGAGGAAGGTGAGCGCGGTGGGTCCCCACCACGGGGCGGTGCCGGTGGGACGGTGCCGGTGACGGTGCCGTGTGCCGCAGAGCATCCCCGCCATCCTGCGCGGCCGGGACGTGGTGGCGATGGCGCGGACGGGCAGTGGGAAGACGGCGTGCTTCCTAATCCCCATGTTCGAGAGGCTCAAGGCGCCCAGCCAGGCCGGGGCGCGCGCCCTCATCCTGTCACCCACCCGAGAGCTGGCCCTGCAGACCCTCAAGTTCACCAAAGAGGTATGGGGTCAACAACGGGGTGAGTGGGGACAACAATGGGGTGAGTGGGGACAACAGCGGGCTGAATGGGGTCAACAGGGGGGTGAATGGGGACAATAACGGGGTGAATGGGGTCAACAACAGGGTGAATGGGGACAACAATGGGGTGAATGGGGACAACAGCGGGCTGAATGGGGTCAACAGGGGGGTGAATGGGGACAATAACGGGGTGAATGGGGTCAACAACAGGGTGAATGGGGACAACAATGGGGTGAATGGGGACAACAATGGGGTGAGTGGGGTCAACAATGGGGTGAATGGGGTCAACAACGGGGTGAATGGGGACAACAATGGGGTGAATGGGGTCAAAAACGGGGTGAATGGGAACAACGGGGTGAATGGGGTCAACAATGGGGACAACAACGGGGTCAGTGGGGTGAATGGGGACAAAGAGGGGAAGGGGTTTGGTTTTACCCCCCCCCAACACCACGTTTGTTTCTCACCCTGCAGCTGGGCAAGTTCACAGGCCTGAAGACAGCCCTGATCCTGGGAGGAGACAAGTGAGTTGTCCCCATGTCCCCACTAAAGCCTCCGCCGAGCCTGGCGAGGGGCTGAGCTGCCCCGTACCATCCGGTATGTCCCAGCCTCTCCCCGCTCCCACAGGATGGAGGACCAGTTCGCTGCCCTGCATGAGAACCCCGACATGTGAGTGGGGCCATGGGGAGGGGACACAGTGGGGAAGTGGCCCCCAGAGCCATCCGGGGACATCAGTGGTGCTTGCAGCCAGTACACCTGATGGATGCATCCCGGTGTTCCCTTGGAGCACCTTCCTGTGCTCCCCAGGGGGGACAGTGGAGTCTGTATTAGGTTGGATTTGGGACCTGTACCCACAATGGAGTGGGGACACTGTGCCCCCCCCAAACCAGCTCCCATCACCAGCTCTGTCCCTGCAGAATCATTGCCACTCCTGGGCGCCTGGTGCACGTGGCGGTGGAGATGAAACTGAAGCTGCACACGGTGGAGTACGTGGTGTTCGACGAGGCCGACAGGTCCGCAGCGGGGTCCCCGGGGCGGGCTGGGCACAGAGGGACCGAACAGGCGCTGCCATGTCCCGTGTCCCCTCCCTGCAGGCTCTTTGAGATGGGCTTTGCCGAGCAGCTCCAGGAGATCATCGCCCGGCTCCCGGATTGCCACCAGACCGTGCTCTTCTCCGCCACGCTGCCCAAGCTGCTCGTGGAGTTCGCCCGGGCTGGTGAGAGCACGGGGCAGGGACACGGTGTGATCCCACGGCTGGGCTGGGGCCGGGACTGCCAAAACGGAGCTGGGATAGCGCTGGGCCAGGCGGGTGTCCCCGAGCCGAGCGGTGGGGCTGGTCCTGGTAGCGCATCCCATGTGTGACACGTGGGCTGTGTGTCACCGCGTCCCGCAGGCCTCACCGAGCCCATGCTGATCCGGCTCGATGTGGAGTCCAAGCTCAGCGAGCAGCTCAAGGTGAGATGGGTTCGGGGGGAGCTTGAGGTGGGCTTTGCGCCCCCAACCCCTGCAAGCACCCTGTGGTGTGGGGATGCAGTGGGGCTGAGCTGTGCCCCCCCACCCCTTTGCAGCTGGCTTTCTTCCATGTGCGTGGGGACGACAAGCCGGCTGTGCTGCTCCATCTGCTCCGCACTGTGGTGAAGCCCCAGGACCAGACGGTCGTCTTCGTGGCCACCAAGCACCACACAGAGTATCTCAAGGAGGTAAGTGGCATTTGGGTGGGGTGGAGCTGGGACCCCTTCCCAGGCTCACTTGGGGTCTGCACTGGTGGGCATAGAATCACAGAATGGTTTGGGTTGGAAAGGACCTTAAGATCATCCAGTTCCAATCCATGGCATGGGCAGGGACACCTCACACCAGCCCATGTCACCCAAGGCTCTGTCCAGCCTGGCCTTGAACACTGCCAGGGATGGAGCATTCACCACTTCTCTGGGCACGTCCTTGCTGGAGTCTCTGCCTCTGTTTTGCTGGGTTGCAGGAGAAATCCCAGGATGTGATACCATGGAGGTGCTGCATCCACTTACCCCTTGGAGAGAGCGGGATGTGGGGTCTGGGTGGGCACCCGGGGCCCTGTCTCTTGCCTGTGGGTGCGTTCCCTGGTGGGATCTGATCCCTGTTCCCCGCTCCGCAGCTGCTGACGGCGCAGGGCATCCGCTGCACACACATCTACAGCTCGCTGGACCAGACTGCCCGCAAGATCAACATCGCCAAGTTCTCCCACGGCAAGTGCCCGGTGCTGCTGGTCACCGACGTGGCCGCCCGAGGGCTCGACATCCCCATGCTGGACAATGTCATCAACTACAGCTTCCCCGCCAAGGCCAAGCTCTTCCTGCATCGTGTCGGTGGGTGCCGGTGCCCTGCGCAGGGTGCATTGCAACCCGGGGGTCCCTCGTGGTGACAAGGAGGGTGCGAGTCCCTTGTCCCCTGTTTCATAGAATCACAAGATGGTTTGGGTTGGAAAGGACCTTAAGATCATCCAGTTCCAACCCCCCTGCCATGGGCAGGGACACCTCACACTAAACCATGGCACCCAAGGCTCTGTCCAACCTGGCCTTGAACACTGCCAGGGATGGAGCATTCACAACCT